ACACTCCTGGTAACACACTCTGTTTTGTTCTGCAGTTTGTCCTGGGGATCTTTCTATGTGGGCCTATTGATTTTCAGCTGCCACAGAGTAGCCTCTTCCATTGTTCTGCCATAACGTACTGACCATTGCTGTAAAGATTAACATTCATATCCTTTCCATGTTTCCACTGGTACATTGCCTGTCATGAACACCCCATAGATGCCCGTCTGTGAACTTGAGTCTTTGTCTACAGGACATACCAAAGAGTAGATGGGATGCCTTAAATGATCCGTATGTTTTACTTCTCAGACAGATACTACCAAACTGCCCTCAAGGCCTTGAAAAGGAGTGGTGTCATTTGGGGGGGGGGGTTTGGCTGGACGCTGGGAACAAAGCATCCATGGGGTTTCTAGGAAGCCAGGAGGAGTCTGAAGACTTAGCCGACTCAGTGGGCCCCGAGGTAGGAGTGTGGGGTCATCAAAAAGGTGATAAGAGAGCGTCTGTGGGATAAGTTGCAAGTGGGGAGGAGCTGGGGGGGCTGGAAGACGGGTCTCGAAGAACTAGCCCTGCTTCAGAGTTAGGGGTGTGGACGGGGCACGTGTGTGTGTATACTCTCGTTCCTAAGACCGCCTCCTCCGTCTACCCCGTCGCAACCTACTCCCTTCCTCCACGAGCCTGACGGTGTGTGGGGGCTGTGCACACTAGTTTTATGGCTCTCCTGGGGCAGTTTGTCAGCCTTCAGGAGAACGGACTGCAGGATAGAGATCTCAGCCCAGACCAACTCTCGGCCAGATTCTTTCCTGATAATGATCATTTCCAAGACCAGAAAGGCTTGTTCCTACGATCACCCATTCAACCTATAACTGTGATGAAAAGCCTCTGAGGGTTTTACCCATCCTGAAGCATTTTACATTCTGAGAATGCTGAGCAAACGTTTGTTTTATGCTCAAGACCATTCCTGATCTATCACTGAACCGTAGAAGGTAAATTATTCTACCATCTAGTTCATATGTTTTAATGCACTCTCACTGTTTAATTCATTTAACAAGACAGTTAAACTTTGCAGAGCGAGGCTTATTTAAAACTGAATACTAGCCCTTTATCTGGTACGTCATTTGCAAATATCTTCTCCCATTCTGTCAGTTGTCTTTTGGTTTTGTTGACAGTTTCCTTTGCTGTGCAAAAGCTTTTTATCTTGATGGAGTCCCAATAGTTCATTTTTGTCCTTGCTTCCCTTGCCTTTGGTTACATTTCTAGGAAGAAGTTGCTGCTGCTGAGGTCGAAGAGGTTGCTGCCTGTGTTCTCCTCTAGGATTTTGATGGATTTCTGTCTCACATTTAGGTCTTTCACCCATTTTGAGTCTATTTTTGTGTGTGGTGTAAGGAAATGGTCCAGTTTCATTCTTCTGCATGTGGCTGCATAGTTTTCCCCAACACCATTCGCCGAACAGACTTTTTCCCATTGGACGGTCTTCCCTGCTTTGTCGAAGATTAGTTGACCATAGAGTTGAGGGTCCATTTCTGGGTTCTCTATTCTGTTCCATTGATCTATGTGTCTGTTTTTGTGCCAGTACCATACTGTCTTGATGATGACAGCTTTGTAATAGAGCTGGAAGTCCGGAATTGTGATGCCGCCAGCTTTGCTTTTCTTTTTCAACATTCCTCCGGCTCTTCGGGGTCTTTTCTGGTTCCATACAAATTTTAGGATTATTTGTTCCATTTCTTTGAAAAACGTTGATGGTATTTTGATAAGGATTGCATTAAATTAAGTGTAGATTGCTCTAGGTAGCATTGACACCTTCACAATATTTGTTCTTCCAATCCATGAGCATGGAACGTTTTTCCATTTCTTTGTGTCTTCCCCAATTTCTTTCCTGAGTATTTTATAGTTTTCTGAGTACAGATTCTTTGCCTCTTTGGTTAGATTTATTCCTAGGTATCTTATGGTTTTGGGTGCAATTGTAAATGGGATTGACTCCCTAATTTCTCTTTCTTCTGTCTTGTTGTTGGTGTATAAGAATGCCACTGATTTTTGTGCATTGATTTTATATCCTGCCACTTTACTGAATTCCTATAGAGTTCTAGCAGTTTTGGGGTGGAGTCTTTCAGGTTTTCCACATAAAGTATCATATCATCTGCAAAGAGTGAGAGCTTGACTTCTTCTTTGCCGATTCGGATGCCTTTTATTTCTTTTTGTTGTCTGATTGCTGAGGCTAGGACTTCTAATACTATGTTGAATAGCAGTGGTGATAGTGGACATCCCTGCCGTGTTCCTGACCTTAGGGGAAAGCTCCCAGTTTTTCCCCATTGAGGATGATATTCACTGTGGGTTTTTGTAAATGACATATCAGATAAAGGGCTAGTATCCAAAATCTATAAAGAACTTATCAAACTCAACACCCAAAGAACAAATAATCCAATCAAGAAATGGACAGAAGACATGAACAGACATTTCTGCAAAGAAGACATCCAAATGGCCAACAGACAGACCTGTACCTCTGAAACGAAAAATACATTATATGTTAAAAAAAAAAAAAAGAGGATAGTAGGAAGGGAAAAATGAAGGGGGTGGAAACCGGAGGGTGAGACAAACCATGAGAGACGATGGACTCTGAGAAACAAATTGAGGGTTCTAGAGGGGAGGGGGGTGGGGGGATGGGTTAGCCTGGTGATGGATTTTAAAAAGGGCACGTTCTGTGTGGAGTACTGGGTGTTCTACACAAACAATGAATCATGGAACACTACATCAAAAGCTAATGTAATGTATGGTGATAACATAATAAAATAAAATTTAAAAAAAACTGAATAGTACTTCTCAAAAGTTGGATTTGAGAAATTATAGCAGATTATTTTACCTGCAGTTTTAAAATTTAAAAAAAAAATTGAAAATTTCAGCCAACATCACCTTTTTTTTTTTTTCCCCTTTTCTTTGTTGAGCCTAAGAATCACCTGAGGACTTTTTCAAAATCTGGACACCCGCGTGGCACTCCACATTAGTTAAACAGAATGCCTGGGCAGAGGGAACCAGATGTCCATAGTGGAAACTACCAATCCAATGGATAAGAGAAAAAAAAATTTTTTTTGGCTTAAAAATTTCTAGGAAGTACAAGACAATCATGCCATTAAAATATTTTTAAATGCTTTCGTTCTTTTCCTGTGGTCAAAGAACTCCATAGTGCAACAACAGATCTATTGAACAATAATTTACAAAATGAGATATAATACTAACAAAATTTGCCCAATTTCAGGAAACCCGGGTGGCTCAGTCAGTTCAGCATCCAACTCTTGATCTCTGCTCAGGTCTTGATCTCAGGATCGTGAGTTCGAGCCCATACTGGGCTCCATGCTGGGCGTGGTGCCTACTTAAAAAAAAAAAAAAATTGCCAAATTTACACCTTAAGATGTGTTTTTGATTATAACACTTTTGAATACAGAAATAACGCAAGTTATAATGTCTTCTTGATGTTCATGACGAGTTTGACTGTGGGTACAAAGGTCACTCGGCTCTATGCACCCGAGAAGTGGACGGACTGCTTCGTAAGCGGCCAGAGGGCACTTAGGAGAACCTCATTAAGTCCTGCATTTTGTCCTGCCATTGGTGCACTAGATTGAACTTCACTGCACACGCACACACACACTTCTACTTGATCAGTTTGAAAATTCTAAAGAATGCCTGCAAAACTTAAATGCCGCCACCACCACCCACCCCCCAAGGCTGGAATGGAAGGGGTGGGACTCTTGTCCCATCCAGGTCAAAGAGCAGGCCCAGGCCCTGCGAGAATGCCTGCAAACCCCAGCCAGCCGCGGTACGGGGGAGGGGCCTGTGTGTCCTCTCTCTGGGGAGGCAGCTCAGTGCAGCCTCCTTCCTTTGCTCAGCTGCCTAGAATAGAATGCCTTGAGTAAGGCCTGGTGGGGGGGCTCCTCCATCACATCCTATCATCCTACCCATCTCCTACCCCATCTGGATAGACCGCGGAAGTTCTGCTGTGTCTCTTAGCTGTTCTTGCTGGCTGGCTGGGTCTTTGGAGGACAGTGGCTGATGCCGTTCACACAGGCCAGCTTGGTGTCTGCCCACCTTGGACGTCCTCAGTCTGGACAGTAGCTGCCTCCCCCTTCTCCTGGGAGCCTGCTCCTCGGCTGCCCCCCTCTCCGGGCTGAGGGTCCCTGCTAACACAATGGTACGTGCTTCCACTGTGCCTGACCTTGGGGGAAAGTGTTACCTGACAGCTCAGGCCTGTCCTTAGGGGGAACTGACCTTGGGCTCGCGGCCTGCCAAAGCTGTGTTTGGACAATGCGTCTTAGTCATTTGAGGGGAGTCTCGACAAGAGCCAAGCAAGCGACCGCAATGGGGTGTGTGCTTCTTGCCCTCTCTCTTTGTCCCTCTGCTCTGGTATTCGTATCATAACAACATAGATGATCAGCACTTGTGGGAACACTCTCTTTACTGGTTTTCTTTCATGCTCCCACAAGAGTGATGCAATCCTATCTTTCGAAGTAGACTTAAGGGTAGAGAAAAGGAGAACACGTCAAAGTCAAATCATCTTTAAAGAAACCTAGTGTTTTCAGCCATCTGACTTCTCAGTGTCGAATTCTCCCCTGAGACTGGACTGTGTTTTGATTGTGATGCGGGACCCGGCTGACACTTTGACTTGGCCTATTTGTGTGTTTCTGCTGTTGTTTTTGTTGTTGAACAGAGGTAAACATTCCGAAGTTTCCATGTTTTTGAACCTTGTCTAAAAAAAAAAAAAATCCCCGAAAAGAAACCTAAAATGACTTATGATTGTATGCAATTTCTATTTATTTCTGTCTCAGTAGGTGGGTATCTTTTTTTCTTCACCTGAGAGCCGAACCCTTTGGCTTGAAAAGAACAGGTCGTAGGAAAGAAGACTTACAAACAACTAATGGTCTCATGACTCACCTCACCTCACCTCACCTTTGCCGTTGTTGACAAGTGTAGTGTTTTTTCTGTCTGGACCTGCCTGTAATTTGCCCTAATTCCCCCACTGTCTTCCAGGACTACCAGCCAGACTCCCGGAAATCATGTTGGTAGGATCCCAACCCTTCTCTCCCGGGGGCCCCGATGGGATCATCAGAAGCCAGTCCTTCGCGGGGTTCAGCGGCCTTCAGGAGAGACGGTCCAGGCAAGTCGGGTGTGGTTCTGTCCCGGGACGCAGCTCGAGAAGGACGTGAGCTCATGCCCTCAAGAGGCTCTGTGAGCATGCAGCCTTGCCAAAACACTCACACACATGCACATGCATGCACACACATGTGTGCATGTTATTTTAATCTCTTCCCTGGAAAAGACGTAATGTACCAAAAATTAAGTGCCATAGTTTCTTTCTGTCATCTAGAATTCCTCCCGCCAAGCAGATGGCTGAAGATTTGGGATTAGCTAGCAGTCTGTGTGCCTGGCTTTCCCCACGCCCCCCCCCCCTTTGGGCTGCACATCTCCCACTACAGCCAGACTGGGGAGACTGTGTTTGCTCTAAAGTTATGCAGTGGGTAAAGACCGCCTCTGCAGAGCGACTCTGGGAAGCAGATGTCCTTCAGACACAGGCTTGGGAAAGTTAGTCTTCCGGTTTCTCCCGAATCTCCCCTCCTCTAAAATAGAGGACTTCGGGGAACTCAAGAAGGAACACACGGGTCATGAAATAGGTAACATGGAAAAAGTTTGTCTTCGTTTTTGCCAACACGACAGAGGTCTTGGGCCCTCAGGGGCCTACGTGCCTGACCTGTCCTGTCCCCGTTAGTACAGACGGTTTTGCCGAGGGAAAGAGTAACTAACCTGGGAGGCGCAGGGCAGGCACCTGCCAGACTCAGAGGTCACGGCTTTCCCTTTGACAGCTGGGTTGGTGAGGTTCTGGCCGCGCGGTCTCCTAATCAGATCCATGGCTGGGGTCTAAGTTATCTCAGGTGTCCATCTCCGCTTGCAGACGCTGAGTTCTGCGTTCTACCTAAAGACAATGTACTCCAGAAAAAGAAAGCTTACACAAAGCCATGGGTTCGGCTACGTGTGCCTTTCTTTAATGCCATCTGGAGTAGCCCTTTATCCAGAAACTGTTCATTCACATCCTAGTCGAGTTTAGTAGGTGCTTGTGCCCAACATTGCATAGCACGCGTATTTTTTTCGTTGGATTAGACCCTTCTGCTTCCTTGTTTCCTTGGAAGCACTTGTCCTCGGCTTTCTGTAAGGTTTCAGTGGCATGGTATGTCTTTACTCAGAGTCCCTGACCTGACCCTGGGGAGCCACTGCATTGCGGAGCTTCCAGATTTCAGCAGTCATAAATCTAATAGCAAATCTACCGATAAACCACACGTAGGATGGCTCAGGTTATTCAGCTATCGGGGACCCATATCTTCCCCAAAAGATACGGATATGAACACAAAATGATTCAAAGGGCATTTCTTTACTCAGACCCTTTTGGATGCCGAGACTCACAATTTCTTTTTCCTTTGCACAGATGTAACTCCTTCATTGAAAATCCCTCCGCTCTCAAGAAGCCTCAGGCCAAACTGAAGAAAATGCACAATTTAGGACACAAAAACAACAACCCTCCTAAAGAGCCTCAGCCTCAGAGGGTGGAAGAGGTCGTCAAAGCCTTGAAAAATGGACTCGAGTAAGAACATCGATGCTAATAGCGCCCTAGAACGTTTTTCCTTTCTAAAATCCTCAGGGGGAGAAGGGGTGCACGGAAAAGTTTTAAGAGATCATTTTAAAATGTCTATTTCTGTAGTAGACATTTTATTCTTGCACCGTAATTGAGGAAGCCTTCAATGAGTCTCAAACGTGTGAAATATGTCGAGTTTCCGCATCACATCCGTAGCATTGAGGGAGATCCGAACTAGTGATGTGTTTAACTCAGCACAGTGTTGGATTTCACATAAACAACGATGGACAGACAGCTCCATTTTAGTGATCGCTGAGGAAGGATTCTGAAACCTTCCCAAGTTATTATATTATATATTATATTCTATTATTATACGGATCGTTGGCCCAGAATAAAATCTCCCTGGTGTGTGGGGAGACCTCTAGAGTCGGTGTTGTATTTCACTAGATGGAATTCTGTGAGCCTGGACCCAGGAGACCCAAAACATCATCGTTTTGCCCCATTCCCTCCCCACTGCTTTTTCTTTTTTGGGACTTGCAGCCTCACAGGGGCTCCTCTTTTTGACCATCTGGATGGTATCAGAAGCAACTCCCGGAGCTTTCAGAAAGTTGAGCGATTAGGAAATACACAGCCTCTTCCCCGCCGACTCTCCCCTCCCCAGAGCAGGGCTCAGATTCCTTGTCCCCTTCGGAAGGACAAGGGCAGCACTGGCACAGAGGTCACGAGTAGGTTTCCTGTTCTCTTTGCAGTGAGTATCTGGAGGTTCACCAGACAGAGTTGGACAAGCTGACAGCTCAGTTAAAAGATATGAGAAGAAACTCTCGCCTGGTAGGTACCATCCGATCATTAGGATGTTAACCCAGTATTCCCCTTTTTTTGGGCTAAGTATCTTTTTTTTTTTCCTACTGGATGGGGCTAGGGATCTGGGGAAGGGTATGGGGATGAGGAAGAACCTTTAAGAAAAGCAGATCCAAGGGGAAGAGTACTATCTGCTTCCTGATGCATATATGAGAAGGTTAAAGTTATTCTTAATACTTCTTAGTATTTTCCAAGCATGTTTATGTGGATATGCTTTGTAATCAGGAAAAAATACTAAACAGAAGCAACTGCAACCCCCTATACCCCTCCTCCAAATCATATAAGGAAATGAAAAGTTGGGGTTCTCCTAGCATTCTGTTAGTACAGAATTTGGAGCCCAGAACTACCAAGAAAGTAGTATAGGTCAATGACGTCAGGGAGGGCAAGGGGATCCCAGGCGCACCTGTTATGAGAAGCTGGGAGGAGCCCCTGAGCCCGTTCCGTGTCCTTATGTCCCACAGCTAGCAGGTGTCCTCTATTCTAATGAAATTTGTGAGGACTTGTCTGGTTGAAGAGGTGCTTCTCCCCATACACTATTTTAAATGATTTTGTTCAGTTCAAAATGATCTTACACCTTAATCTTTCAAGGCGTCAGAAAGCCCAGGAAAAGTCTCCACGCACTAAGAGGTAGAGCTGTGCATCAAAGGCCACTGTCTTCTTCTGTTTTCGGAGATCTGCTAAGATGTGTAGTCGTGTCCTTTCCGAAGGCTCAGAGGCTAAAAGCTTTACAGAAGTTAAAGATTTTATCCCCCGATGATGTTACAGTAGGAACCGCCCCATCTCTGTGGGGAGCGACTCCTTATGGAATGGCCTTCCACTTTGGAATGCCCTTGAGCATCCTCAGTGGCAACACGTTTCTCCTTGGAGAACGATAGTGAATTGAATGGACGCAGGAGCTCTTGCTGGGACCTGATGTTCCGTAGAAAAACCCTCCTGATGGGGGACATGGGAATGGTGTGCCAATTACACTGTGCTATTACGAGCACACAGGAAATGAACTTGCTTAAAAAACAATTTGTGAGAAGTCTATCACTGCCCTCCAGGACTCTCCTTAAACACCAGTTTTATATGTTTAAATGGGAGGGCAAGGGCTATCCCTGCTCCATCTATATTAACTTGCTTTCCTTATTTAAAAGTTAGTATGAATTTATGTGCCCCTCAGGATGTAAGAGAGGAGAGCTGGAAAGCAAGTGAGACCCTTGGGTGCAGAGAGATTGGGGTGGAATTCTGGAGACACAGAGGGAAAATAAATACTGGCCCCTAAAAGTACTCTCGCCGCTACTTCAAATAACCCAGCAGAACTTTGCAGGAGCGATCATTTCTTCCCTGGAAATGCAGAAATGCAAACTGAATCCCTCTATTGATATCAGTAACAATTGTGAGGAAACTATGTTTTAATCCAGACACTCCTTTTTTTATTTTAGGGTGTGCTGTATGACCTAGACAAGGTAAGTTCTCATTCTGTGGGGGGAGTATTGTGGAAAAATAAAGCACTGCATGTTTGCAGAGAGGTCCGTGATTTCCTGTTTAGGCATAACCAGATCTCCAAGAACTGATGATTTTTCTAAGCCCAGTAGAAGTCATGCTTGTATCTAATGAGGGGGGATGAATAAGTACCATGATCTGGTACCATGATATCAAGTACCATGATAAGCTCCAAATAACATCTTGAAGGTCACTTCCATAAAAATGCCACCTGTTTGTAGGGTTTCTCTGTACGCTGATAAGTTCAAGAACTTTCCAGGTATTTGAAGGTCCTTACCTGTGTTCCCTCTAATTGACTGCGGTATTTCATCAAATTGAAGACGTCTTTGATTGAAAAACACACCATTGTTTTATATCTCCCTAAGGGGAAAAAGTGATTCCAGGTAAACCCTGGCACGGTTTTCTCTGTTCACTTAAAATGTGTATTTTATACTTTGTGACAAACTCTTCTAGCCTTCTTTTAAAGGTAGAGTTTGTTTTTATTTATTCATATATGCTGCTACTCTCTTCTCATGCCTTTCTGTATATACATAATTTTAATGCTGAATTATGGTGTAATGTTTTTTGAAGACATTGGAGAGGGTAATTAAATTTAATGCATGTAATAACAATATTTATAACTCAAAGGGATGACACATGAACCACTGTGATTATCTTTGAGCACGTACAGACAGTAGTTTCAAAGTGCACCCTGGTTTCAGAGACACTAAACTGTAGGGGGGTGAGTTCATCTTCAAGATGATAAAATATGTTACTAAGAAGGATTAGAAGTATACCCCAACAGGATATTGCCCTGCTAGAAACCCAGTGAATTCCATTTGATTGGCCTCCGTCAATGTTCAACACAGGGATTCCCATTACTAACTCAAGCTCATCTCTCAGAATATTTATTCGATGTTTTAGTAATACTTTCCAAATTGGTATTAGAGATTCTCTGAAATAGCCAAGATTGGAAGGAAGGGGAGGTATTATTTAGCATTTTCTGATAATTTTGAGTCTGAGATCAGGAAGAAGATATTCTTGTTGGTCTAGATCAGTTAAACTGTAAATGGCTGTACTTTTTCAAACTTCTTCTTTTAATTCCAGCAAATTAAAACGATTGAAAGATACATGAGACGCCTGGAGTTTCACATTAGTAAGGTAATGAAGTTCCCTTTGTCTTGCCTTCTGGGTTTCTGTCCTCAGTCACTAATCAGTACGCCTTTGGCCTAAGCATGGCACGTAGTCCGCGGGGAATGTCTTACCTAATTGACTCCTAAACTGATTAGCAATTAAGTCCTCCAACGGGCAGGAGAAATGGAGAAAAAGGAGAAAAGAGCCTGACAGTCTGGTGTAGCTCTGACTCTCCTTCAGTTCAACAAACATTGAAGTGCTTCCCACAGAGCCTCCTGCTGGGCTTTTAGTCCCCGTGCAGTCTTGGTAAAGATCGAACCAAACACACCCTACACGAAACTTCACACTTGCGTAACTGGACCCTCTGGCCACGCATATAGCTTGGTACCCCGTAAACTTCTTCACGAAGGCCTTAAAAGTACTTAAGGACAGGTGCCATGTATGTCCCTAACTCTTTCTCAGGCTCCTGGCTCCTTCTGTCCTTCCTCACATGGCGTGGTTTCCAGGCGGCTTTTCTTTCATCTTTGTTGCCCCCATCGACGTGGGCTGTTTTGTCAGGACCCCTGACACCCAGCCCTGAACCCTACAAAGCGTTCACTGACGATCCAGCCAGGCTAGTGTGGAGTGGGACTCTCACCCCGTTGTTCTGAACACTACCAAGAGTTACCGGAGCAACCTGAAAATAGCTCCTGTTGGGAGCCGCTAAATCCCACCAATGGTCATTCCTGTTTGCATCCACGTGCATCAGCCTCTCTTCCAAGTAGAGAGACTGGAGCCTTCAGCTGATCTCTCTGCTAGGAGTCAGAAGCCCTAGGCTCCAGTCACGTACTCTCGGGGCTATGTCACCCAGGGGGACCTTGGTTTTCCACTCTGTGAAATGGGGCTGGGAGGTGCATGCATTCAGTCTAAATGAGCCTAAGAATCCTTTTGTTTTAAAATTCTGTGACGATTTAGATGTATATAAACATGTGTACGCAGCTGCCTTTGCATGTTTCCACTTTGAAAAATATCTATTACCTGGGCGAGTCTGAAATTGCTTCAAATTTCTGTTAAACTTAATAAATAAAACAATGACATCCATTCAGAGGTATCTGTGTGGCAGGCAGGTGTTGGCAAATTACTCTGTTTAGTTAGAAACACAGCAAGAAAACAAAATCCCTCTCAGGTAGGAGTGTATTTATCCATCTTGCAGCCATCGTGGTTAGCCACAATGATCCCGGGGGTCACGAAAGGTTGGGGGCAGCCTATTTGCAGCACCTTATGCACAACATGTCTCACAAATGTTATTTAACTGGATGAGTCCAGCAGTTGGTTTGATGAGGGTCCCTGCTGACGTGTGGATGAGACCAATGCTAGTCGGCCCGTTCCCACTCAGGTGGGTACAGAGTTACCCTTTATCCTACAGGTTAACTCCATTTGGCTAGGATAGGTTGGCATTGAAATGAAAAAAAGAATTAACGCTTCTGCAAATGCAGAGTACCAGACTGCATCTTTTGGGCTAAACTGATGTCCCCATGAGCAGTTTCCTATAGAGAGGATTACAGTCTCAGACTTTAGCAAACCTGGTAGTGGGGAAAAGGGAGGAAGGGGCAGCTTCCCAAGGGACCCCATGGGTGAAACAGTCTGGCCTGCCCTGGAAGAGGGATCAGCTCTTGTGTTTCTAGGGGTTTTGCGGGGACCAACCCCATGAGAACGATCTGCAATGTTTATGTAACATTCCAGATTCCAGCCCAGCCCTAACCTACTGAATCCACATCTCAGAGGGGGGCCTGGGCCTCAGCATTTTAACAAGCTCACCAGATGAGTCTTAGCTTGGTTTTAGGGTGTGGCAGCCACCCTCTCTGCCAGTCACCAACCCAAAGATTTCATCAGCAGATTCACCACCCTTGACCTTACATCTCCCTCTTAATGAGAGACAAACCCATCGACCCCAAAGACGAAAGGCTGCTTCCAGAGTTTGGCAATTGCTCTCACCAAAGTGGAGTGAGTTGTTGAAGGAAAGAGCAACAGAGAATTCTTTAACCAGAGAATAATTTCCAGTCTCTTAATGTGCATCTTCTTTTTTTTTCTTTTTTTAAAGATTTTATTTATTTGAGAGAGAGAGAATGAGAGATAGAGAGCATGAGAGGAAAGAGAGTCAGAGAGAGAAGCAGACTCCCCGCCGAGCAGGGAGCCCGATGTGGGACTCGATCCCGGGACTCCAGGATCATGACCTGAGCTGAAGGCAGTCGCTTAACCGACTAAGCCACCCAGGTGCCCCTTAATGTGCATCTTCAAAGTTGAGTGTGATTGACGTCTAGACAGAGATTGCAATGGTGGAAAATTCCACCTACTCTAACAGGTCCTCCTGACGCTTTGTCATCAGCACCCAAAAACTTGCCTTCAGAACAAAAGAGGAATCTTAAACTCTGAAACCCATTATATTCATCTCCACCTTCCTCTGGTTCTACAGCCTTTTGAGGGAATAAAGTTTGTACTGAAATGAAAAATTCAAGTCAGCCGAGGCAGGTTCCTGCCTCGCAGAAGTCCCTGATTTCCTTTGCTTCTGCCAACACCTGGGGTTCGTGTCCTTTTCATCTGCCTGCAAATTCCTGTGGTTAACTGGGGAGCGAGCTGATAATGGGGGAGAGCGCAAGGCTGTGGACATATACGTGATCAGCAATAACCAGGTTTTCTCGACTTAGGCACTATTGATATTTGGAGCTAGTCTTTGTTGTAGGGCACTGTCCTCTGTCCTGCAGGACGTTTCACAGCATCCCTGGCCTCTGTCCCTACCAGATGGCGGTAACACCTCCCCGCTGTGAGGCTGGAAAAAAACGGCTCCAGCTTTTGCCAAATGTCCCCCGGGGTGTCAAAATCACCTTGGGTTGATTGAGAATCACTGTCTTCGAGACAGTAAGTGGTTATCAGGCTTATAGAATGAGTATGATCAATAGTCATTTGCAAACAGTATATGATTGTTTGGAAGTGTAGATGTAGATGTATAGCAGAAAAATGCTCACCTCCAGTGTTTCCTTTTATTTAGTGGTGGTATCATTTTCACAAACAAATACTGCATAATTCTTAAGTGTTCAGTTTGATCAAGTTTTGACAGTTGTGCTTCACCCTCGTTTTTTTTAAAAGATTTTATTTATTTGAGAGAGAGACAGAGAGACACAGAGAGCATGAGCGGCGGGGAAGGGCAGAGGGAGACTCCCCGCTGAGCAGGGAGCCTGACTCAGAGCTCGATCCCAGGACCCCAGGATCGTGACCTGAGCCGAAGGCAGGCGTTTAACCCACTGAGCCACCCAGGTGCCCCTCTTCACCCTCATTTTAAGAATAATTTAATAACTTTATTTTCTATATTGTTGAGGCTCTTTATTGAAGATGATTTTTTTTTTTAAGATTTTATTTGAGACAGAGAGCAAGAGCGGGGAGTGGAGGTGGGCAGAGGGAGAGGGAGAAGCAGACTCGCCTCTGAGCAGGGAGCCCGATGTGGGGCTCGATCCCAGGACCCTGAGATCATGACCTGAGCCGAAGGCAGACGCTTAACCAACTGAGCCACCCAGGTGCCCCTATTGAAAATGATTTTTGTAAAGTCTTGGCTCAAGTTCTTTTTTAAAAAAAAAATGCTAAATGTAGATGTGTGAATATCACCTTGTGACAATACTCTTAAAGTGATAAGAGCCTCGTGGAAATCCTTCCCATGTTTGTTGCTTTATGTAGAAGACTGCGGGCTCCGTCATCCAGTACTTTGCTCACACAGCCCACCAATGTTAAGCTCATTTTCATTTCGTGTAATCTGAAAAGAAGGCTTGGATTAAAATCTGCTTTGAAAGAGAAAATGGATCCCAGTGGCTAAAACAAAGATGATTGGTCTCTAGGTAAAAGGATGATGCTTCGGGGTGGGGGGAAGGCGCCTGCGTGGCTCAGCCGGTCAAGCGTCTGCCTTCCGCTCTGGCCGTGTTCTCAGGGTCCCAGGATGAGCCCCATGTGGGGCTCCCTATTCAGAGGGATGTCTGCTTCTCTCTCTCCTTCTGTCCCTCCCGCCTGCTCATGCTCTCGCTCTCAAATAAATAAAATCTTTATAAATAAATAAATAAATAAATAAAAGGATGACGCTTCTACTAGAGTCTCCTTGTTGAGGTCAGAAACGTAAATATCTTTTGGACTGAACAATGGCCTGTGTCACTTCTTTCAAGTGGGATTAAATAGTTACATCCCTCGTGTTCCCTCCTGTGATTCCGACAGGTAGATGAGCTCTACGAAGGATATTGTATCCAAAGACGCCTCCAAGATGGTGCCAGCAAAATGAAGCAAGCCTTCGCGGCCTCGCCGAGCAGCCGAGCTGCCCGTGAGAGCCTGTCGGAGATCAGTCGCAGCCACAGGGAGTACACGGAGGTATGTGCCGGTGGGCTACCTCGTCCCGCCCTTCGGGAGATGTCTTACCATTTGCCTCTCTTGCGCTGTTTGGGGGCTGTCCATGGAATGGTTTAAGATGACCCTTGGGCACCTCTGTCGGTCGTATTTTGGTTCAGAGTCTCCACTGGACTCCACAGCCTCCGCTGGCCTTTCTTGGTCCCCGAGCGTCACCTGGCAGGCACTCATCTCCTAGTGCCTTGGACCGTGCTTGCTCACGAACTTGAAAAGCCGCAAGATGTCAGATGCTACGAAGCCGTTCACTGACCAAGTCTTGAACTCTTCTGTGCTCCCTGCTGCCTCGCGGTCTCTGCATAGGGAGGCTACGAATGCTTGTCGAAAAGTGCAGCGACGGCATGAGTCAGCCACAGGGCCCTGGGTTTTGACGCTCTAAGTGCACTCCTAAATTTTCTAGTGTCCAGGCTAATCTGGCTTTATTCCCAGAAGTAGAACCACCCTCGCGGTTAAGATAGCTACCCTGAAAGCTGGGTATCACCAGCGCTCCCGCCTGTGATGATTTTATCGTAAGGAAGTCCCCTTCTGTCTTCAAGGAGACAAGATAAAGAGCCACGAGCAGAAGTGGGCCTCCCCTGGCTTCTGTCTCTGAGGCCCCTGCATCCGACACAGGGAGGCCTTCCCTCCTCCTGGGGTCACCTGATACCAAGTGTCTTTGATGAAAGACTGAATAATTCAAGCAGCACATCTCACTATCCCGAGTGTCTGCTCAGAGATCGAATTTCATGAATGAAGTCATCAGCCTCCTGAGGGTTCATGGGGTCTGCTGGGCAGTTCCGGGAGCTGAGCCTCTGACCCCATGGGTCGCCTTGTATGGTCGCCCCAGCAGCATCTCTGGTCTGAACCGTTTTGTCTCTCTCTCTCCGTGTTTTGGCTTCTTCTCCTATATTCCCCTTTCAGAAGAATGCTTGTCAAATGCATAAAATAAAATACGTGGAATCCAGGAACTCAGAAGAAACTAGTGATACTGAAATAGTCATTTCAGTATTAGTAGTACAGTTACCAAAATATCTTAAAAAGCAAAATATTTTGATATAGTACTGTGCTTTGTTTATGCCACGTTATTATTAGCACATCAAAATTAAATTATCAGCTCTAGCATTGCCACTTAGCTATTGGAAGTTATAAAATTTTAAAGTAGCAAAAAGTATGAGTGATTGTTCAAGGTTATCTAGAACCGGTGGTGTGGCGTGAACACACAGGCGATTTCTATGTGTCAGAGCTACAGGTACCAGTCATACTGCTGGGGCTTACCTCCTACATCCGTGATACTTCCATGCCATGCATTTAACTTAGAGGCTGTGAAATCATGGGGACTTTCTTTTCCCCCCATCTAAGTTCATGGACCCAGGGCTTGAGACTCCCTGGCTTAGAAGCAGCCCTGGTTCCTGAGACCTCATTTGTGCATGTCTCAGAAATAAAAGAGCACTTAAAACGGTCGTTTGGAGTCCAGGAGCAGGTAACTGACTGGCAGCCTGGAGAAGCTGCCCTTTCTAGAACCTTCATCGGCTGTTTCCGAAATACCCATCCTTGCCCAGGTGCCGTCACGTGGCATCAGACTCCACTCCCATGTTCAGAGATGTAGAGGACCGTTTCAGCAAGAGAAACTGCGCCTTCGGGGAGAAAGGAGTCGGACTTCTGTAACGTCCTACCTGACATTGGGTGGTTTTTATCTTCACGGAACCGCAGAGCCAGGATTTTATCACAGAGAACGTTTTGGGGGAGAGGCTCAGGGGCCTGCTGCAGGGGTGGCAGGACTCATCCACAGCTGCCTGGGTGAGATGGAAGAGCATCCTGACCCCAGAAGTCCTCACCTGCTAAACTAGCTGCCCCCCCCCGCCATGTTTTCTTGAAGATGCTCGTGGCAACCCTGCTTGCAGGCTAACATCCCTGGTGTTTCGGGAAAGTGCGATGTGTTCCTTCACCCAGCCACGCAGGGCTCTGAGACAAGCGGTTTATGACACTGAGGCTTTGTTTCAAGCGGCACGGAGCCCAGGCTTCAGGACGTTTCCCCGAGGTCTGCGAAGTTCTCTGAGGTACCAAGAGCTCACAAGGGCAAAGGCAATGATGCCATTGTCTTCGCACCCCATCGACACACCAGTGCAGGAGAGTGTCTTCTGGAGAGAACAGACGGAACGCTGTCACCTCACTCTGCCATCCTGAAGTCCTGAGCCCACAAAATGCAGATGGGAGCACTCCCTGTCGGTGCCCACGGGGCTGTGGGCTAGTAGGAGTGCCCCCCACCCCCGCCCCCCACCATGGAGGCCGGCTGCTGAGGGAGAAGCCTGCAGGTGCCACCGCCCCCCACTCCCAGGGCCAGGCAGTCAAGGCCACCTCGGGAGAGCCATTGGCCGCGCACTTTTCCTTTTTCGATCTCTACCTCCGACTGCTCTGTTGAGGTCCTCAGATCCGGAGGAAGTAGGACCGGTGTGGGTAGTGACCTAACCACACACTGCCTTCGGGGGGCCCTCAACAGTAGAGCAAGCGGAGACTCTTGTCCAGCCCAGGAATCATTTTGGGGACGTGTGGCCTTACCGCAGGAACCCAGCCTCACTCACTTTGTAGGACACAGAACCACTGTTATTATGGCCCCGATTTCTATTCAGAGAAATTTCCAACCAACAGAAGAGTCAAGACTAATATAATAAACAACATCTACCTTTACCAGTTGGTAACGTCTTGCCATATTTGCTTTCCTTCTCTCACCTATGCTCAACTTTTTCTTTCCTTATCCTTGTTTTTTTGCTGAGTCATCTGACAGTAAGTAATGAATATTGCAACCCTTCACCCCATAAATATTTTGCACAGAACCCACGGTGGTCGCCTGTGTCTCCCTGCACAAACACACGCCATTCCCACAACTCAGACAGTTAATCGACTAACGGGGTTATCGAATGGCCTGCGCATCTTCAGATGCCGCTATTTGGTCCAGTCATGTCTTTGATAACTGTCTTAGTGTATTGTCCTTCAAGTCAGGATCTAATGGGAGGTGACAGGTGGCATTTGGTTTTTATGTCTCTTTAGCCCCTTGGGGCTTTTTTCCCCCCCACATTACCTTTTTGTAGAATCCAGGCCAGTTCTTGCAGAATATCACGTTCTGGATTCGTCTGTTTATGATATAATGTGATGAGATCATTGATGTAACATCTGAAGGAAACACAGTGAGTCTTCTGCTGTAGGAGGTCCCAAAGTCAGCGACTTAAGAACCCTTGATCTTCTCCATTTAGGAGCAGACTACTTTCCTTCTTCCTTTTTTTTTTTTTTAGAAGATTGTTTATTTAGTTCTTTGAGAGAGAGAGATCACAAGCAGTGGGGAGGGGTAGAGGGAGAGGGAGAAGCAGACTCCTCGCTGAGCAGGGAGCCCGATGTGGAGCCCGATCCCAGGACCCTGAGATCCTGACCTGAGCCAAAGGCAGAGCCACCCAGGTACCCCCAGACTGCTTTCCTTTTTGTCTAGCATCCCAATCCTCACCATTGTGCATGGAAATAAGTGAAATTGTTCTGTGCTCTAAATTTCCCGTACACCGGAAGGCTTGCATAGACTCCGGGTGGGGGAGTGGAATTTTGTCCAGACTGCTTCACGGCAGTGCTGGGGAGCTCCCTGCAAACAGGTAAATGCCCCCCCGGTGTTCAAGCCTCGAGCTGTAGTTATCTGCAGCTACTAGAATGTCACATGCTTTGAGCTGTTGGTGACAGAAGCCTCGCGCTGATGCCAATTTTCTGTCCTCTTCACAGAATATGTGCACCATTGAGGCAGAGCTGGAGAATCTGCTGGGGGAGTTCTCCATCAAGATGAAAGGTACTCTTTCCTCTGTTCAGAGAGGAAGGCGCCATCTCCACAGACAGAGCTTCTTGAAGTTTGAGTGCACACGCTATTTTTATTTTTCTTGCAAAGACACTATGCCGCCCACACTCACCCCTCCCCATTTGTGAATGTGTTGATGGTCCAGAACCTTCTAGTCCTGAGACTTGCCTGCACCCTTAAATCTTCATTATGGCAGAATCTCAAGCATACACAGAAATGAAGAGAATGTTGCAATGAACCCCATATCACCTAGATTTAATAATTAGCAAGATTTTGCCACATTTGCTTTTCCCTCTTTTTCCCTTTGATGATATATAACCCAGATATATGAGTCTGCCTGTGTGTATTTCAATATGCATCCCTTAAAGAATGGGGCCTTCTTCTTACGTAAATAATCACAATGCCAAGTATTATCACATCTGATAAAATTAATACGCCTTTGTCATTAATCCACTCCATTATCCAATTTCCCCAGCTGTCTCAGAAATGCTTTGTACAGTTGGTTTGTTCCCACTGGGATCCAAATAAGGTCCATGCATCGTGATTGGTCATTAGGTGTCTCTTAGGCTTCCTTTCATCTAAAGCAGACCCTTCCCATTTTCCTCCTACTGTTGACTTGGCATAGAAACCATTGTTGTACAGACCATCCCATGTTCTCGATCTGTCTCTTGGCTTCTTTGTGGTGTCATTTCAGTCGCTCCTTCCTGCTCACGTTTTCTGCAAACTACCCGCCCATTACTTAATGGTATTTATTTTTAGTGTAAAACCCACAGAGCCCTGTGCATTTTCCTCCTCTGCCCGGTGCGTTTCTGGTGTTTACTCTGGAAAGCTCTGACCTAGAAGCATGATTGGTTGTTGATATCTGTACCGTGGCCTCTTCAGAACAAAAAAAGGCACGCCAGCTTTAGGAAACAGAGCGTGGCCCAGGTGTTGCGGGCAGGGCTCGCCGATTGGCAGCCACGAGTCCGTTTGTCTTGACTGTGGGCCCGTTGACTGCGGCAAAGAGAGAACTGGGGTGGAGGCACTCTAGTCCTCACGTTTCTGCAGCAGCTTGATCCCTGGGTTGTTGCTAATGGAGACTTAATCACCCGCTTGTCGACTTTTTGCAATTAAGGGAATAGGGAAGGGGCACTTTTTTTAAGTGCTCAACAGGAGAGCTTCGTTTTTGAGTGAGTCATCTTAGTCTGCAGGGCACTGTTTCTATCAAGCGCTAGGCACTCCCGTGAGAACCACTCTGAATGAGTTACTCCTAGAATACCAACGACCTTGACCTTCAGCTTCCTCAGTGGCTGCATTCTTCTCTATGGCAGACCTGAGTGTGAACTGGTTTGTCATTCAGTGTGAAATCTCAACATTTGTTGTCCCACTGGGGTGGGGCCTCCGCGCTTTGTCAGTTTTTCGTTTATTGTCTTCATGTTGGGTCCTCACCTGAGTCTGAGGTTCCAAAACCGCTCAGGCCCTGCCCCAGACCCAGCAAGTCAGGGTGGGCCCTGGAAGATTTTTTCTTAAGACTCTCAGGATGATTTCATCAGCAGCCTGATTCTGGAAAACAACTGCCCGAATCAGTGTTTAGCAGAAAACACGTCCCTCTCATGTCCCTCAACACTCGGCACCATCCGTGCAGACTGGTCGGTTTCACAGCTGGGAGAGACTCAGGTCACACATCTTCTCACGATTCACACAGGGAGTGCCAGATTTCCCTGATTTCTGTTCTCCAAGGCATCCATTTTTGGTGGGATAATCATTTCCCCATTTTATTGATGGGAATGACTTGTCCCAGAAGTCACGTAGCGAGTTGGAGTCAAACTTGAAACTGAATTCCAGGGCTCCTGGCTTCTAGAATATTCCCACGCTTGGTCTCCTACGAGGCGGGAAGTTCGAAGAGAGCAGATCCAATACTAGAAACTGTTGCTCCAAGGATGGCCTCTTCTGTGGGAGGGCCGTCTCCAGCCCAGCCCACGGGCAGTGTGGCTGTGGAGCTTCAGGCCTGGGGGTCCGGCAGACGATGGTGCTGGGGGGGCCCACCATCGCTGGGGGACCTGGGCGCCAGCTAAATAATAGCCCTGGGTCCTAAAGGGTTATCCTGGTGGGCTGACAGAACCTCCCGTTTATCGAGCAATTCCTTCTCTGCCTCTGCCTGTTCTCTCTTTCCCGCCTGGTCTGCTTCCATCACTTCTGTCTGGGCACTCGGTTTCCCCCAGGGGGACTCTGGGCCCAAAACATACTCTCCTTTTTCATTACAGATTATTCTCCCTTTGCACGTCCCTAATCTAACATGAAAACTCAGAAACGACATCTAGGAAGCCTTTCAAAGGAAACACCTCCATGGAAATCTTCCTCTCTCTTGATAAAGGGAAGCCTCCTCACGCTGCCAAGAAATCTTGCATCTTTGTAATCAGCTACTTTCTTATCTGTGATTCCTTCTGGTAAAACATAACCACCCCCCAACACACATACTGACATCCACTGAGGATATTTCATAATATTGTCAGACCTGGTAACCCAACTTCCTCCAGCCACACCCTTCCACACTTCCCTTTCTGCACCACCCAACACAAAGAAAACAACCCTTTTGGTTTCGTGCTTGTGTGTGTGTGTGTGAGTTTGAGCCCCCGGGGGTGTGGGTGCCTTGTTGATAAAAACAACCGAACAGTTATAGAACTCCTGCTCTTGGCAGAGCACGAGGCTGCATCCTGATGAGTGGCCCCTGGCCTTTGGTTCCACTGGAGAAAATTGGATGTATGAGCCAGTGCATTCAAATTCAGTGGAATGAATGACCCCCCCCCCCAGACCACTGGGGTGAACCAGCTTTCTCCAAAGCCCACTGGGGGATGGGAGAAGGGTGCCACTCACCTATCTAGGGTGAGGGAAGCAGGAAGGAAGGAGGAAGGCTCCCCAGTGTAACCCTTGAATTAGAACGAGAGGGACTACTCTGGTCAGGTGAACAGCAAGGGAATGGCATTCACCAAAGAGGGAAAAGCATGTTGACAAATGGCAGGTGGCCTGGCCAGGCAGGAGCCCGTACTAGAAGAAGAGCTGTGGACGTCCATGGACCTTGAATGTTAGGCCAACAAGGGGGCCTCTTGTTAGCCAGGACCTAGATGAAAAGTGGTCTCTCAAGGAAAACTGCTTCTTCTCCCAGCTTGTGCTTCGTTCCAGTGCAGTTCCAGGCAGTGGGTATCTCCAAGCCCGTGCCTGACTCCCCGGCTTTCAGGGCAGGGCAAGGCCTTGGCAGAGGGAAGAACTACCTGTGAGCTAGTAAATCTGCACTATTTATGCCTGGTCAATAAATCAGGAAGGCCTGGACCAGGACTCCTGGCCGTTCAGCTGCTTGGCTCCTTTCCTTGAAGCAAAGTGTGACTTCCTTACTTTCATCATCACTCCCCGCGGTGCGGAACTTTGTTAACATTGTTGCGAATACCCGGCCATCGTTTTCTGTGTATATACCTGTCAGCAGGTGCGATCTGTTTTATCTTTGGAAAGGAAGGTCATCATAGAACTAGCAAAAATGGGGAGCATTCTTCCGGCAGAAAAGTCTCTGAACAAAGGAAGGAAAGGTAGGAGGCTACGTACTGTGGCATCTGGGCCTTCCAAACGAGGCCAGAGAAGAGCCATTTTATCTGGGTGTTTACAGTAAAACAGCCAAAAGGTACAGGAAGATGCACCATAGAAATAAAAGCTCCCCACCCCCACCCACACCTGGATGCTCACCCCCCATGATGGTCTGCAGAGTGACCATCATGAATGCTTTCTAGACAGTGCAACAGTAATCACAAAACTGCTGAGAAAACATGAACCTTTCCTCCGCTGTGAAAATCCCAGCAGGCCCCTGGCCAGGTGTGAAAGACATCGAGCTGTAACTGTAATTGCCCCACTGTTGGTTTCAACTCTGCAAGCAGCACTGTGACTGGCTTACACGAGCAGCTAGAACTTCAGGAAGCATAGCAGCAGACCCGCTTCTGCCTGGCTGGTGCTGGTTGGCAACATTATGCTGGTAATCAGCGCCTCGGGGTGATACCAATACAAAAGCAGTTTCAAGAAATTTTGCTTTAATAACCTGGGCTCGTAAGCTCAAAAACCATGACTTCCAAGTACCTTTTTCCCATTTGTCTAAGTTCAGATATGAAAGTTCTGGTAATTTTTTTTTAAAGATTTTATTTATTTATTTGACAGAGAGACACAGCGCGAGAGGGAACTCAAGCAGGGGGAGTGGGAGAGGGAAAAGCAGGCTTCCCGCTGAGCAGGGAGCCCGATGCAGGGCTCAGTCCCAGGACCCTGGGATCATGACCTGAGCCGAAGGCAGATGCTCAACGACTGAGCCACCCAGGCGCCCAAAATTTCTGGTAATTTTGAAAGGGAAAAAAAAAAAATTTCAAAGCATTTTCCCCCATACATACCTTTATCCACACTCATACCAGGTCAGTTTCTTGTTTTTTGTTTTTTTTAACCAGGCTTCTGTTGTAATTGCACAGGTAAACTGGCAATGGGTGAAACCTGAACTAATTTGCAGAGGTTTTATTTTCTTTTATTTGAAGATTTATTCATTTATTTGAGAGAGAGAACACCCAAGTGCGTATGGGGGGAGGGGCAGAGACTCCTCAAGCAGACTCCCCACTGAGCAGGGAGCCCGACACAGGGCTCGATCTCACGACCCTGAGATCATGACCTGAGCAGAAACCAAGAGTTGGACGCTCAACCGACTGAGCTGCTCAGGTGCCCCTCGGCAGAGGTTTTAAAGGGCACTTTGGATTTTCTTAGAATTGGCATGTCTCGCCAATTCCAATTTGTAGAAACCAGTCAATTGTGCTTTTTTTTCTGATGTATTAAAAAAAAATCTAAATCCTCCAGAAAATGATTAGTGAACATTGACTTTTTAAATTGTGCTCTTATTTCAGGAAATCTGTTGAAGTGGCTTCTTATGTTCTAATTGTTAGACCGGTCCTCAGTGGACTGGCTCTGAGGGTAGGGAGGCAGTACGAGCTGGTGAGTTGCTGCCATCTACTGACAGATGGTGGTAACAGCAGGTGCTTTTTTAAGCCTCCCTGGACCTTGTCTATCATCTTAACCCTGGAGTGTCCTTGAGATGGGCGGAAAGCAGATTCATTCATTCCACAGTCTCACAGCTTCATCGGGCTACTCACAGCAGGCAAAATACATTTTGTGATACCATCCTCATCATCTTTCCATGGGTAGAACCATGTTTAAGCTAATGTAAAAACAACCAAGAACTCATAGGTCATGAATGGCAGCTTGAGGAGACAGCCACCAAGGGATCTGCTGGTCGAATAGACATCCTGTGTGTGAAGGAATGGAAGAGTCCCAGGGCTGCTCTTGTACCAGCAGTTCAAAAGAATTTCCTCTCTGGCCGCCTCTATTAAAAGTGAGGGACGGTTCTGCTCGAATCTGTTTTAAAATTTGTAAATGGTACTTTCTCATTTTTTAAAATATGGGCAGATAGACAAAAAGGTTAAAGTCATAATCACTCCACCAGTGCTAAACTTTGTAAAAATTGTCATGAATACCCAAATAGCCTTTTCTCTGCATATCTTATTAAAGATACCTAAACATCTGTACAGAATTCTTTTTTTTTAATTGAAATGTGGTTGACACACGATGTTACATTAGTTTCAGGTGTACAACATAGGGATTTGACAAGTTCATATGTTTGCTATGCTCAGCATGACTGTAGCTCCCATCTGTCCCCATACAACACTATGACATTACCATCGACCATATTCCCAGTGCTGTACTTTTCATGCCCATGACTTACTCACTCGGTAACTGGAAGTCTGACCTCCGCCTCCTCCTCCCCCATCTGGCCTATCACCCCACCCGCCTCCCCTCTGGCAACCATCCATTTGTTCTCTGTATCTATGGGTCTGCTTCTGCTTTTTGTCTATTCATTTGTTTTGTTTTTATATTCCTACTGTATTTGTCTTTCTCAGCCTGACTTCTTTCACATAGCATTATACTCTCTAGCTCCATCCATGTTCTCACAAATGGCAAGATCTCATCCTTTTTTATGGCCAAGTAATATTCCATCGTATATAACCATTTGTACTGAATTCTTAACTGGAATTCTTTATCATAAAATGGTATTGGTTTTTTTTTTTCATTAGAAAATGAGAAAGTACTAAAGATTTTGCCCATTTTTGTTAAATTTGTTTCATTCCTTGATTACAATGAGCCAGGATTACTGATAAGCCTCTGTTGACCAGTTTAGTCCCTTACATTTACTGTGTGTGTATGATGTGCGTACCTCCCTCCCCACAACTTTATTCATGCTTGACACACCGTAGGCGCTCCGGAAATACTGCTGAGTGCATACAGACTGCTCACTCCACCCAGAAGTGTGTTCTCTTCCCCAGGCCTTCATTTGCCAGTTGAGATATTCTGTTGCTCAAATGCCACCTTCTGGGCGCCTGGGTGGCTCAGTCGGTTAAGCGACTGCCTTCAGCTCAGGTCATGATCCCGGAGTCCCAGGATCGAGTCCCGCATTGGGCTCCCTGCTCAGCGAGGAGCCTGCTTCTTCCTCTAACCCTCCCCCGTCTCATGTGCTCTCTCTCTCTCATTCTCACTCTCTCAAAATAAATAAATTAATTAAAAAAAAACAAATGCCACCTTCTTCCATGAAACTATCCTACATTAAATGAGATAGAGTTTCTTGTTCAATTATATAAGTCACACATTCTTACAAAAATACAAAATATAGGAAAAAACCTCCTTTTACTGTCTCTTCATGGCTTTCCGCCTCTCTGATGTGTATCAATTTGCTGTGTTTTCATACAGATAACATATTTTAAGTGACTGTGTCTGGCACATGCTCAACCAATAGTTTATCCCACTCCCTAATATATAATCATTACTATGTGTTGTCTTTACAATCACTGCCATTGATTGTCTTTACAAACAGTTCTGTGAGGTGGACATTGTTACCCTCCTTTAAAGGTGAAGAAACTGGAGTTCGTATCTAGAGGGGCTCAGTGGTAAGATAAAACAGAAATCAACTTCAGCTTTAAATCTTACTGTGTCTGGTCCTTGTCTGTTTCGTCCCTGTGGACTTGAACCACATTTTGTTCTGTTTTCTGGGTACCAGGAGAGTCTCTCTTAATTTGCAGATTGTTACCCCAGTGCACAGATCCTCCCACACACTGAGTCTCCATAAATATTTACAGAAAGAAAGAAAAAGACTGATGAAACCCAGGGTCCCTGAGATGTCCCACGACAGTGGTGTGACATGATGTGTTCTTGCTGCTACAGCAGGCATGGGGCTGGAGCTCAGACTGAGCAGACCCAGCTAGGGATGGTGAACCAAGGGTGTGATGGCGCCGTCGAAGGGAAGCCCCATCTCCATTTGGGGAGTGTGGGTTGTTGTCATTTGGTTGGTTGGTTTTTGTTTTCTTAATCACTGGCTTTGTGTAGATGATAATCCATTTTAAGTGGTTTCATAATACAGTAGATGGTGGTATCATTAGCCGGGTACATAGGAAAAGGAAAACACAGGAATGAGTGAATTGGAGAGAGGCAAGGGTCCATAGAATCTTCACCCAAACGAGAGGCGCTTATCAGAAATCACAAATCTTGGGACAGAAAGAAAAACAGGAGAGCCGTTTATGTTCATGGGAATATTTTGGGTACATAAATGAATATATCTTTCTGGCCCTAATTCTCTGATCCTGGAAGCTGGGTGGACCCTCATTTGGCCAAAGATACATAGAGTTCTAGCCCCTGCCCAACAGCCTTCTTGGCCCCAGAAAGCAGCGTCTTTGATTAATCCAGTCAGGAATATTCTCTCCGGCTGGATAGATGGAATTCCCAGCCATGGCTGCGCCCTCAGGTGCTCCCCCAAAACCATAGCATGAGCTTTCACAGAGGTCTGATGCTTTTGGTTTGTAACTGTGCCAGTGTGGGTTTGTGAAGAGGGGAAATCTATTCTACACCTCATATCCCAGTTGCTTCCTTACAGGTCTGGCTGGTTTTGCTCGCCTCTGTCCGGGAGATCAATATGAAGTAAGTAACCTGTCGGTCTGCCGGTTAGAATCGAGGATTTGAGGGGCAGGAGTCAGGTGGCCATTATTTTGCTTTTAAATTGCCTTTCCCCCCACCCCCTTTACGTTTGTTGATTTTGAAAAAAAAAAAATTAAGCCAATGAGAAAGTTTGGAGATGGAGAACCCCACATATTCTTCATCCAGACACCAATTTTTAACATTATGCCACATTGGCTTTATTATTACTGCTATGATTGTTGTTATTGTGCTGAACCATTTTAGACTAATGCACAGACATTGGGACCTTTCGCCCCTAAATGATTTTCCTAAAAGCAGAAGGACATGCTCTCCTATCTGCATTGTGCAGTTCTCAACGCAGCTAACTTAACATTGGCCCTTTAGCTACCCTTACTTGTTATATGATCCATACTGATCTTTTCCCTAGTGTTCCAATGTTGTACTTGATAGCAGTCTTTTCTCCTGATGCAAGAGCTAATCCAGGATCATGAGTGCTCATAAAGAACACTAGTATCTAGACCTTTCTTTATAAAGATATACTCCATAAAGTAAAAAAGCCTTTTATCTTTCCCCCTTCAAAAGGGAACTTCCCTTAATTATTTTATCTAACTGCCTCCTCCAAAACCCTCTATGATTGTTCTTCTTGGGGAGGGCAGGGGGAGGAGCATCTTCCTGTCTGAGCAAAGGAGAGCTGGAGACCCTCTCCTGGGACTGTGTCGGATTTCAGAATCCTTGTCCAGCTCTGTCTTCCTCATCCAGGAGGAGGGGGTCTTACTTCTTGCTTCTGGCTGCTAAGTAGATTGTAGCTGACGGTTTCTCCTCCCTGTAAGGGAGCCGGGGAGTAGTTCTCGTAGCCTCGTGGGGGAAGGAACTGGTCCCCATGACCACGGTGACACGGAAGGGCTCGGTGTGATGACCTTTTACACCAGAAGGCCCTCCACGCCCTCTTGGAGGGAAGCAGACCTTACTCCCCCTTGAAAGCCTCTTCCCCACTCCCCACCTGCTCCACCCCACCCCCACCCCCGGCCCCAGGAAATGTGGAAGAACACACCAGAAGGGTGGATGGAGGCGGATGGAGAAGGGGAGGAGAGGCAGCTGCTTTATTTCCCTGCCTTTTTATCTTGGTGTTGGGGTGGGGAAGGAACCTGAGGTGTGGTTCTTCTCCACAGATTTTCATGAAGTACGGCCGACAGAGGTGGAAACTGAAAGGCAAGATAGAAGCCAATGGCAAGCAGAGCTGGGATGGGGAGGAAGTGGTGTTCCTGCCCCTGATCGTTGGATTCATCTCCATCAAGGTTCAGTATCGTCTCCGCCGCTCCTCGTCTTCCCGCTGCACGGCTGGGTGGCCCGTGGGTGGGGACCTGTGTTCACGACTGCTTCCCGCTGCCCCGCACCCCCACCTCGCAGACTCCTTTCTACGCCCCGAGTCCGTGGTGAAGACCACTGCTCTCGTTAACGGGGGGCCGAGAAGAACACAGGGGAAGCGTGCCTGGCCTTTCTCCCGTGCTCCCCGTAAGGCTTCCCTCCCCCTCTCTCACCAGGTCACAGAACTCAAAGGGCTCGCCACACACCTCCTGGTCGGCAGCGTGACCTGCGAGACCAAAGAGCTCTTTGCTGCCCGACCTCAGGTGGTGGCCGTTGACATCAACGACCTCGGCACCATCAAACTGAGCCTGGAGGTCACCTGGTAGTAAGTGGCCCTTTTCTGTTCCAAAATCTGTGCTGCAGGCTAGGGCTGTTCAGAGGGTGGCGCTTGGACCGTCAGAGTCCCCAGGGAGCTCATCACAGAAGGAGACTCTCGGGTCCAACTGAGACCTGTGTCGGAACCTCTCAGGGCCCAAGGATCTGTCCTCTGGCTCACCAGATGATGCTCGTGCACTGTTGTCTCCATAAGTTGGAGAACATCTGTCTTATCACTGTTCTCTCCTACTTCCTGTTTTAAAATATTTTATCCTGCTGCCTTCCCTCCCTGTCAACCTTTATATATATATTTAAAAAGATATAGGTCTTAATCAAGCTAATTTGGAAGGAAAATAACTGTGCAGTAGGAGATATTTCACCCTTGGAAAGATCCCGATTCTCGCTATAGGGTTTTCATCACCTCTCCCACTTCACCTCATATACCGTACGCGGCCCTCGGAGACGTTTCAATATCCTTCACACTCTCCTGCAATAGAACATTTCCAAAGGGCAAGAAGTACCTCTTGTCAGAGCAGTGAACTTAAAGGTGGTTTTCTGGGGGGCTTGGGTGGCTCAGTCTTTAAGCATCTGCCTTCGGCTCGGGTCATGATCCCAGGGTCCCCTTTCCAATGTGGAGGGTGAGCCACAGAAGTAGCAGAGACCCTGCTTCTTGTCACTGAAACACTGTCCGTGCCTTTTGCCTGTCCTTCCCTCTTTGTAATTTGTAGTCATTGACCTATCGAATGCAAGACCATTTGTCTTGCTGGATGAACCGGATGGCATGATGATAAGTTGTCATGGTGGACAGACTGTCCTCCTCCCAGGCATGCAAGTCTCTGTGTCCACGGAAATGAGTGGGAGTCTATGTTTGTTTTCTTTAGAACAGCAGTCTGTTACTTTCTTGTATTGTTAACCCGTCTGTCCCCTCCAAGCTCAAAGACTTTTTATAGACTTCAACATTGTGTGTTGGACAAGCATTAATATGTTTACATTTCTAATATGAATGGAGAAACAGATTTACCTAGTGTCTAGGTGTATAGATAAGTTGCACTTAAAGCTAGGATGCTAATCTGTGGTCCCTTGGGTGGGTCTGGGCTCCGTTTTCTGCTCCACTTTCTTTTATCTTGGTTTATTTTCTGCCAGCCCAATTCCCACTGGTTTGAGTTGACTTTAGTATGATGAGGTGTTTTCTCAGCCTGCAGTCCGGGGGTTGGAGGGGACTTTAATGAACGCGCATTCATGGGACCTGTTGTGTTGCAGCCCATTTGATGTGGAGGACATGACTGCATCCTCGGGCGCTGGGAACAAGGCAGCAGCCCTCCAGAGGAGAATGTCCATGTACAGCCAGGGTACCCCGGAGACTCCCACTTTGAAGGATCACTCCTTCTTCGTAAGTTCACTGGGATTTCTGGAGGAGACATGTCAAACTCGCGGTAGGCCTTACACACAGTATGTGAAACCCTTGACGTCCGGTATTAGGGGTTCTCAATAATTCCTGACCATGCTAATCCCAAAGCTCCCTCTAATCAAGGAGTGACTAAGAAAAGCACATTCCAAGAGGCAGTAACAGCAGTAAACCTCCTGTCTTCCCTCTCCCCTCGGCCCCCTGACTGCTTTGATAACATGCAGACTTTTCTGGAGATTCTCTGAGGTCAGCCTCTTAGAGGAACGGACGTAAATAATGGCGTCTTTGTTGTAATCAGAAATGCTTGCTAGAACGCTAATGAAACATGGTAACTGGGGCTTTCCGCTAACTCCGCCATCTTGCTTTGACTTCTGAAGAGGTGGTTGCGGCCTTCAGCAGCCAAGCCGCGGCGGCTGTCTGTCTTGAGTGCCTTGCAGGACACTTTCTTTGCCAAGCTATCCCGCAGCTGCTCTTTCAGTGACCTGCCCTCCCTCAGGCTGAGACCCAAGGCCGAGCTAGAGTTTTCCGTGAGTGTGGGTGGCCTGGCCGCGGTGCAGTGCTTGCCTCGGGGGGGCTCGGGGCTCATTTGCTTCATTCAGCGTGTCTCTTCTCTCCTCCATGTCACTCACGGGGCAGTGGTCACAGCTGTCCCATCCCTGGGGCGGGCAGGGTGCTCCTGCATGCGCCCTCGTCACAGCCACCGCTTGTCCCTCTCCTCCCTGCGCCCTGCTTTTGTGCCGTGATTTCTCGCCGCGGTGGCCAAGATATCCATGGTAACAAGATCGTCGTTCTTGAAAAATACAATTACGCTCGCGGTCAAAGAAGGTGTTTGCTCCCAAGTTAGGCGAGTTTATCACGAGGACAGTCTTCACGCGTGGTTTTAGCCTTCAAAACCTGGGGTTTGAGAGAGTGAGAAGGCTTCCGGCCAGTTTTCCTAGAGCTATTTCTATTTAAAGAGGTTCTTAGCCTGAGTTTACAGTAGTGTCTGTTAGTTTTATACCATGTTAGTAAACGGAGCTTTCGTTGGTAGAGTCAGGAATGCAATAGGTGAGCTACGTTCTCCGTGTCACACATTCTGTCACAAGAGAATACACACACATGTACATACAGACATGGAAGAGCCTGCTCTTTGCAGCTGTATAAAAGTTACCTTTGGGGAAAAAAAAAGAGTAATCTTTGAATGTGCAGAAAGGAAAGGACTAAAAAGTTTTCTAGTTAATGATGATAGTAATCGCATCTAATTCAGTGAATTACAAAGCACAGGTGAGAAGGGCCAGGCTAACCTAGTGGAGTTTCCAAGGCAAGTAGGAAGGTTCTAGAAGGAAAATGTGCATGAACGCATGGACCAAAAAATGGATGTATAGCGGAAGCAGTTGTACACCATACATAACTATCGATATAACTTGTGTATTCATGCTCACATACTGTGAGTTGCGGAGGGAGTTGGTAGGGGTTTTACTAACATAATTTAAATGAGAGCAAGATTAGAAAAAACTCAACGGCTTCCCATAGCCTTTTGGATAAAGGCGGATTCCTCAGAGCGGTTGCACCCATCCGGCCCTCAGGGCAGCTTGCCATGCCTGCCATTGCCCGTTCTTGGTCCTCTGCTCCAGCCCCCTGAACACCCACCACCCTCCAGCTCCACCACCCCCTTCGGGGGCTGCCATCTGTCCGCACACACTGTTCCTTCCGGAGGGCACTTCGTGCTCCTCGCCTACACCTCCCCATCCCGTGGGGCTGAGCTCCGGGACTACCTGTTTCCTGGGCGGCAGCCTTCCCCGTGCCAGGATCCTGCCGCACGATGCCATGCCTCAGTTAGAACACACTTCCTCATAGTGTCATGTGTCTGTTCGTGGGCTCGTCCCCTTGGCATATAGTAAGTCCCCTCAACTCAGTCTAACTCCATGCTGTCCACTTACGTAGGCGCAAATCGGCTTTAGGAGCACGAGCCCCAAGAGAAATATGCTTTAGGAGCATGGGGCCTCCCACCATCCCAAGCTGCCAGGGGGATGTGCTTTGAAGATGAGATGAGATGGGGCAGGACCCCCTGGAGGACCTAAGGTTCTGGGAGATGCCTAAGGGACCCCCGTTCCTACCAGAAGCTCCCCCTTTCTCTCTCCTCGAGGCGGAAGATGTGGGGTGCAGACAGAGGACAGAGGACACTGAATTAAACAATCACTGGAGCCCTTGGGGCCCCACCTGCTCCTCAGCAGCTGCTGAGAAGGTTCCAGAATTCCTTCCACCCTCAGCCTCGCCCCCCAGGACTCTGAGCAGCACACTTCAGGGATCATTATTGGAAGAAAACATTCTTTAGAGACGATCCTGAGCCTGCAGATGTTACTTGAGTGCCCCAGGGACCCATCCTTTTACTCATCCCATGGTTAAAATGAATCGCCCTCCAACCAGATGAGAATGGCAAGTTTGGGTTGAACTAACTGCACATGTTAGGATCTGGGGGCCCCCAATCCAGCAGTGGGGGGACCAGGAACACTGCTGGGGAGGACGGGGAGCTTTTGTCTTTCTGTCTGCTCCCATTTCACTTCCGGGAACATTTTTGTTTCCTGGGCTTATTCCCAGCACTATTGTGATCATTCCTTGCTGCCCATAGAATTCAAGTAGGCATGAGCTTGGTACTTACCATTTACTTAAAAGATCAAATCCAGAACCCAAGAGAAATCATCCATTTCAAAGGAGCTGATCTCCAATCACTAGAAAACTTTTTCCACGCAGCAGCATTTGGGAAGTGAGAGACCACACAGACCGCAGCACAGGGAGGGATGACCTGGAAATCATTTCAATGCCTACATAAACAAATGATCTTGATTACCTGGATATTTGTAACCTCTCTCCCTTCTGAGTTCTGCTTCATGAATCACAGCGTACCTGACCCAGCCCGGGTCAGCCTGACAAGAGGACGTGGTGTTTCTAGATGCCCCGAGAGTTCTGGCTTTGCAATCCTGAAAAAGAACCAAAAAATCTTTTTCTCCCATTTTTATGGAGGCTTTGCAAGTATATTTCTGGCCTTCAGTTATTTGTGGTATGGTTACTAAATTAATAGAACATTTTCAAGGACTTGGGATTTGTGGGTAGAGATTCTTTTAAAATAATTTACGAGAACTGAAGCAGAACAAAGCATCACATCTTTTGAGTGAACTAGCATGAGTGTTGGAAAGTCTTTTAAGACAAATGCCAAAAAAAAAAAAAATGTGGTAGTGTTATTCATAGCCATGGCTGCCAAATACTGCGAGATCCTGGATTTTAGGAAACAGGCTCTGTTCCCTCCCCACCCCCTATCTTTCCTTTTGAAAAATGTCAAACCCAAGAATAGAATAATGAACTTTGACCTAGAAATGGTTTGCAAAGGCTTGTTTTCTTTTGCCACACTTGCAACCACACACACACGTGCGCGCACAGAATCAACTAAACATGTTAATGTTATGAAAGTGCTGGTTGTGTATTTTCATTGCCTGGCATTTTGTCTGGAAATAAATCACACCGAGCACATCACTGGTATTTAAAATAATAACGAGATGCCTTTTATCCACAGACTAATCTACCTGATGACGTCTTTGTCCACGGAAAGGCAGCTGAGGAGAAAACACCCCTGTCTCTCAGCTTCAGCGACCTGCCCAACGGGGACTGTGCCCTCACCCCCCACCCCGCCGGCTCTCCATCCACCACGGGCTCAGCGAATCCAGAAATTACCATCACCCCCTCAGAGCTCAACCACAGCAGCCTGGCCTCCCAGAACGAGGGCACGGAGGACTCCGGCTCAGCATCTTCCAGAAACTCCTCCAGAGGCCCAGAGCACCTGTTCCTGGAGAAGAATGTGGCGGAGGTGCTCCTGCGGGAGTCTGATGAGGCCTCCGAGCTCAAGCCCGTGGAACTGGACACGTTCGAAGGAAACCTCACGAAGCAGCTGGTCAAGAGGCTCACTTCGACCGAGGTGCCAGTGGCCACGGAGAGGCTGCTCTTTGAGGGCTCTGTCAGTGGAGAGTCCGAAGGCTGTAGATCCTTCCTTGATGGAAGCTTAGAGGATGCATTCAGTGGGCTTTTCCTTGCATTAGAGCCCCATAAAGAGGAGTACAAAGAGTTTCAGGATCTGAACCAAGAGGTCATGCATTTGGATGATATCCTAAAAGTAAGTACCATTTTAGGGAAATTGGATTAGGTTTGGAGAGAGGTGTCTGAAGCCAACATCCTCTTGAAAGTTGTGTATCTTTGTGTTTTCTCCTGTTTCATCACAGAACCGGTAGTTGTCATTTGAATGGCACTGAGTTTTAAACACCAGGAGCACATGTTCATTTTTATTTCCCTGACAGCAGATCAGCTTCACTAAGATGATTAGGAGTTAAATCACCAGCTCTGAGGAATGTCTGAGCTCCTCCAGCCCCAGAGTTAGTCACTGCAATCCCAAATGGGAAAGGGAGGCATTTTGAGGATCATAATCTCCTTGAGATGCTACTAGATAGAGTCCCTTCCTGACTGAAGTCAAGAGTGAGGCAACCCTGATGTGGGAGCCACAGGCCCATCCCCCCCCCGGCCTCCCCCTGCAGCCCCCCTTCTCTGGTCTGGTCCCGACCAGTGAGTCGGAACCTGCGATTACTCATGCACAGATCACCATCTCCTGTGCTCCAGAAGTCAGGGACCCCCAACACCACCAGAGCTATCCCTCTCAACCCTGCTCCTGGTCAGACAGCTCAGGGTGGACCGGGTGGGAGGGGAGAGCGGGAGGGATGATCTCCTCTCAGGCGGGGGGAGGACCTAAGAATGAGGTTATGGCTGCTACACCAGAGCATATATGTTGCCACGGGGCATATGGATTAAACTTTGTAAAACACTGCGCAGGAAGACAGAACCTGAATTTTGTCCCGAATCCCACTGCCACCTCTTGTGTTCTTGGCTTTGTGACTCTGGTATTGCTATACAGAAGAGAAATTGGATCCTTTTCCATGAAAGAGCTGTTCTTTGGTGACCTTTCTTATCAAATGGGGTTGAAAATAAGGTTCCAGGGGCAAGCTGAGATTCAGCCCACAGAAGGCTGTCTCATCCCCTTGTATGACTGTTCGTAAAACCTGGTCTTCTTAGTGGCCCATGGAAACACATTTCCAAGGCTTTGCTGACTGCCTCACCCTTCTCGGTGGTGCTCACCTACCTCTGGGGGGATTGGTCCCCAGGCAGATGAGACTTCCTGCCCCAACTCTCCAGGTCCTCCAGTGCTCATGACAGACTAATTCAGCTGCTAGTACACCCTCTGAGAAGCAGGCCAGGGCTCTCTGAATCTGCTCTCTAGAAAACACTTTTCAGAAGCCCCTGCTCAGGACTCATGATGGAGGCTGCTTGTCTAATTCTCCAGTGAAAACATCTTCTACTCCCTCCATAAACTGTTGTGTGCAGAGTTGACCAGCTTTGCTTAGTGCGTGAAAGGTGTGAAATTTAAAGACACAACTGACCCCCACCTACAGCAAACGCCTTAGAGAAAGCGAGTGGGGAGAGCAGCTCCCATTTCTAGGCATCTAGATGGCTGATAAGTAGCTGGATCCACCAGCGAACACTGAGCAAGCCATCTGTGAGTCTTATAAAAACCTGGTGGTCACAGATTTCTTTCCAGAGTATTATTTCAATCTGCTGTTGTTCCAACACAATCCTGCCCCTAAAATCCTTAAGTGTCCATCCCTTTGTTATGATAGATATTTAAACACATCCATCCTGTGTGAGGTCAAGTTCAGCAGATAGCTAGTTAAGAAAGGACTGGGTTGCATCTGGACTGGCTCCTTCTCGCTCTCTGTGATTGAAAACAGCTTTCGAGTTTAGGTCTGGGGCAAGTGGCTGTGGATCCAGCCGGAATTAAAGCATCTGCTAGACAAAGCTTTCTCTTTCTCCCCCCCCTTCACATTCCTAGGATGCTAAGCCTCTTGAGGATCAGAAACTAAATGATGCTGCCTCTGGGACGGAGATCACTGAGGGTGAATGAAACAACTCTGATTTAAGAGACCAAAAGACGGTTTCCCCTGTGCTTTTGTGCCATCTTGAGTCTCAGAGACAGATCCCTGCCAGGCGCTGCCTGCCTTATGTTACGAAGTGAGCGAGGAGGGCCACCTAACTGGATGGAGGGCCTTTGGTTCTTCTGCCTTGCAGGACTGGTCCCGTTCAATGCACCCCAGCGTCCGTCCTCCTGAATACCTGGAAGGACGTGTTTCCACCCCTGTGCCCGTGGCGGCTGACGTTGTTCTGTTTGTCATGCTTCTGTCTGTGTTCGGCAGACCCCAGAATGGGTGTGCTCACACAATCCCAGGGCCCAGTCAGGGAAGCGGTGGAACTTGTTCCTGCAGAGACAAAGCCATAGAGGTCGCAGGGCTCCTTCCTGCAGCGCCCATGCCCTTCCTTTTCTCCTTGACGCGCAGAGCCAATTATGCGCCATGAATGTAAAATTAATATTGAAGTCTACTTACATAGGGAGTATGAATTGGGTGAGTGGGAGTTGTTTTCTCTTTCTCAGGTTGGTTTTGTTAATCCTTTAGAACAGGTTCCTTGGGCAGCCAGCTTCTGTCTCAGGACAGTGCAAACATGACCACATAACCTTACAGATTGGTTAGCATTTGGCGTTGACCCCATGACTCTTTAGATTTGTCTGCTGGTTGTATTTTCTTTGGGGTTGAGCACTAGGCAGAGGGAGGGCTCGAGCAGTTCTGTTTCCCAGGGTTTTCTGGGCTGTCATATTCCCTCAACTTTTCATTATAAAACTTTCAGGCAGAAGTAGAGAGAATCCTATAATGCCTCCCAATGTGCCCATCCCCCCACCCCCGGCTTCCACGATGTCGACTCATGGCCAGTCTTGTTTTGTCTGTTCTTCTCCCTGCTTCTTTCCCTCCAGATGATTTTGGAACAAACCCCAGATATTGTGTCATTTCATCCATCATTGTACTTTTTTTTTAATATGAAAATTTTAAATGCTTTTTTTTTTTAATGCCAAGCTCAATAAAAAAATAAAAGCTTGAAAAAAACCCAGAAAGTGTCACATCTCAAGTTGAATGTTGTGTGTCGCGTTTTCCGCTTCTGGATGTGTTGATCTTCTCCCTGATGCCTTCTGCCTTTGCAGTGCAAGCCAGCCGGAAGCCGCAGCAGGTCTTCCAGTTTAAGTCTTACAGTTGAAAGTGCTTTAGAAAGCTTTGATTTCCTGAACACCTCTGACTTTGACGAGGAGGAGGAGGATGGTGATGAGGTTTGTAATGTTGGTGGAGGCGCAGACTCCGTATTTTCAGACACTGAGACCGAGAAAAATAGGTAAGTATAAAGTTAGCGTGTGCTTATACCTCTAAGATCTGTACAGTGGTTTTTTGTCACTATCGGTCGGCACCTGGGCACCTCTCTGGGAGGAGAACTCCCCACAGGACTGGCCATTGCCTTTCGGTTCCCCTTTATTGTTGAAGACAATTTTTAAATATCGTTCACCTCTTTTGTGCAGTTCAAGGAAAAATGAATTGCTTTTCTTCCTCATAAATGAAGGGGACATGTTTGTATGAGTGAGTGTGTGTGTGTGTGTGCGTGCGCGCGCCTACATCTTGGAGGGTTCGGGGTCTACAACCTGACCCCAATGTAATTAATTCTAAATTAACTAGATATGCTATGTTTCCGGAGAACTCTTACTGGATGATCCGTTGTACTTGGTTCTCTAATCTCTTCATTTTGTTATGCTCTGCTTTTTCCACCCCTTTAGCTCTTGCCCCCTTTGGCAAAGTAGTTGTAGGTCAAGCTCATCCATGCACATATCCACGCCAGGTTCAGCCCGGGCCAACTATTTCCCTTAGAACGAGGGATGCCCGACTGATCACTGAGAACTGATTGCTTTGTTCTCCAGTCTGCCAGGTGGAGAATGTGCCTTCTCTGGGGCGGGCAGGGGTGAGGCAGCAGGAAGGGACAATGAAGGTGAAATACCATCACCTTCTCCATCAGGCTTTCTTGGACAGCCAGAACTTGTGTTTGGAGCTAGAGTCTGGGGTCTATTTTGTGACTTCAGCTAAAGCAAAACAAGCACAGTTGAGCATACTCACTTTCATTAACTGTTGGGGTGAGACCCACACATACTTTCCCAAAGGAAAGGGTAGATCTCCACCATCTTTACCTTTGACATGTTATGCAAACAAGTTTTCAAGTCACAGGGAGCTCCAGCTGTCCAATCTTCACCAACCTCTCTTTGTGTGGGTGATGTTCCGGTAACATTTTTGAGGGCTTTCACATCCCTAGAGGGCTCATTCTTCCAAAATCAGGAAACAAAAACATGAGAAACAGAATTTATTCATTGAGCAAGCTGAGGGCATGGCAAACAAAATGCATTCAATGAATGGAAGGTTGACGTTATGCTCCTACATTCTGTGCTGAGATTTTTCTAACCTGATCGAACTTGTGAAATGCTTCTAAACCAAAAATCCTTCTACTCCTTAGCTTAAGCTGTTACATGATATGTCAAAGTCAGACATCGGTCTAAACTCTTACTCTTCTTGCCGTTAGAAACATCTTCACAACAAAAACATCATGGGTTTTGTACATTTTATAGACCGTTGATATTGAATTGTCTAAAATGATCGATTTTATGTCATCAGCGGGATTAGGGGAGATTGCAGAAATTGTGTGTGTGTTTTAAATATGTGTTGATGGCCGGGACAGAGAGTGCTTTCCCGTTGGAGGCAACTGGGAATTGGAGTAAGGCGTTCAAGGTGTCTAAGCTCGAGTGCACGATCTTTGTAAATCACAGGGGCTGGGGGCATGAGCCCAGAAGCCACCAGCTGCCTGGCTGCTGCCTGGCCGTGTAACAGGACACAGTGGTGACTATCTCTGCCAGTCAGCCCTCCCTTATGTGAAATGAGACTACTCCCTCTTTCCCACACAGATTAATTTTCAGAACAAAATTGGATAATAGAGGCAACAGATTTATTTGTAAATGTAAGTGCCCATCGTGATACAGCTTGAGACAGCTCCACGGTGAGGTTGAAACCAGGCAGGAGAGGCAGAACCAAGCGCCGCCTGGAAGGATTCAAATGCCCCCTCGTAGCCTTTGTCTGAGGCAGAACATCATGTCTCCTGTTGGCAGCTTTCCTTTTTTCCTTTTCTTCAAGTAGCAATTGATCTGAGGCCAAGAAAACGCCTTGACGTTGCTTCTTAATGATATTGCTCTTGGGGCAACCACAAATACAGAGGACGGCTTAATCCCGGAAAATTTGGCAAAGCACCCCCATCCACAGAGCAAGAAAGTGTAACAAGTGCAAAATGAGGGCCTGTCTTCAAAGACTCCTTGGTGTGCCAGCTTTACAAATGGCTCATTGTGCTTGGGCAGCAAACAGAGAACTCTGGAAGCAATCTGTTTGCGTGCTCTTTTAAAAACAAGGCAAATTGGTGACCAGGCTGAATCGAGAAGTAGCTTTTGAAAGGTATCTCGGTTTTTCAAGGCAGGCTTAGTAGAAGCCTCCTTTTCGGTGGGCACCACCGGGGGGCCTTCCCTGATTTTGTTGAGGTGACCTGGGGTTTCCATGATGAAAGAAACTAACGTCTTGCCCCCCTTCCTGGTTCAGCACTTACAGATCAGTACACCCCGAAGCCAGGGGGCACCTCAGCGAAGCGCTGACGGAAGACACGGGAGTCGGGACTAGTGTGGCCGGAAGCCCCCTGCCGCTGACCACAGGAAATGAAAGCCTGGACATCACCATTGTCAGGCACCTTCAGTACTGCACCCAGCTTGTTCAGGTAGGGTCGGTGACTGTGTCGGCTTTAGAGCCCAGGGTGTGGATGCACCAAGCAGGTGGGCTTCCTTTTTCAGTTATGCCTGAGAAAGGAAAATTCAGGAAAAAGAGAACAGTCCTGCTTTGAGTTGGGCCAACTCAATCATTCTCGTGGGCATCACCATCCTCCCTGGACCCAGGGGTTTTCTATCTTAAAACCTAGCTCTCCACACTTTATTCTTTTTTTCAGATTTTATTTATTTGAGAGAGAGGGAGAGAGAGAGCACAGCAGGGGGAGCGGCAGAGGGAGAGGGAGAAGCAGGCTTCCCGCGGAGCAGGGAGCCCGACGCGGGGCTCGATCCCAGGACCCCGGGACCATGACCTGAGCCGAAGGCAGACGCTTAACTGACTGAGCCACCCAGGTGCCCCCTAGCTCTCCACACTTTAAAAGGTCATAGGTTAGCACTTGATCTCAAATCATTTGATAAAAGAGAAATATGACTAAGGAAAAAAAATTGTATTGTGCCATCTGCAAATGAATGGACTTTGAAAGCAGGAGTTACTGAGAGTCTGTTAATGTGCAGTTGTCCCCTGACTTAGCTTTCTGCCACCTGGACAGCTAAAGGCAAAATGCTGCAGGATATAACCTGGGCTTTCCAGATATTGAATAAATACCTATCAGCAATGAGAACGAATACTTTCATAGGCCATTATCATCACCAGTTATCTCTCATCCTGGGACACCCTGGGGCTTATTTTTCTTTTCATTTCAGGTTGTTTACTGGTTAAGATTTTGCAACAGTGAAGCAAATATTTCGAAATTCTTTTGTTGCAGGAAGTGCGTTAGCTTCTTGAACAAAACATTTTCCCTGAGCATCTACTTAACTGCTTCCTCCTTGCCTGGTTGACTGTCTGCTCCAGCCTACTTGCCTGTGTGGGGAAAAGGATAAGAATGGGAAAGCAAACATAATGGTCTTCAGGGGGATTGACCAGGCAGGAAGGATGTCAAAGGAGGAGGAATCATGCTCCTAAGAGCATGGGACCCACTGGAAGACAAGAGGCAGGGTAAGGAGGAAGGGGTCGCAGAGAGGCCAGAAGTGGGTTAATGTGCGTCTTCCGTAATACACTTGTGATGAGATGTAGCATATGCTTCTCCTCCATGAATAAAGAACCACAGAGTCACCTCAGACGCTGTGGGAAACTGGTTGGCAATTAGGACTCTTGCACTAAGTTGGCCAACAACCCAGTTGATCTCTTCTGTTGACTGTTGAATTTGTGAAGCCATTTACTGACAATCTGGCAGGAGGTGCAATTTTTTTTTTTTTCAGACCAAAATGGGCAAGGATTGTGGTTTACTTAATAGCTATTCTCTCTTCCCCAACTACTTGAATGAGACAGTTTTCACAGTTCTTTGTCCTAGCTGAGCCTGATTCTGGGCTGACCCAGCGACCCGTTTGCCTTTTAGAGGGAAAGTCATTATTTTGTGAAACATAAGAGAATTCTCTTCCATCAAGGAATGGATGTTTTCTCTCAAAGACGAATTGGCAAGCAATATTCAGTGCCGTGTTCTTGTCTGTACTCAGGCCATGGTTATAACAAGTCAGCTCTTCTGTGGGGAAAATCAGTGCCAGAAAAACAAAAGAGGTAGATATAAAGACGTAGAATGAAGGAGTAGGATTAGAAACTTAATTCCTAACTCACATCCACTGCTGAATCGGTGAGTTAATGTCTTCATTTGGTATATAATTGCAAAGAGATAAAAATGGGCATTCCATAAGAATCATAATGGCTATAATTATGCCCCAAATCAGTTCATTTCTACTGATTTACTTACATGAAAGGCATCAGTACATAATTGCTACACTAGACTTTTGAATTTGAAAATCCTATTTGTGTAGTCTAGAGGATTTAGTACAGGAAGATGGTACAGGCTGCATCCTGCAACCATGCCTACCCCGCAATGGGGACAGGTCTCTGAGGGACAAAGAAAGGTCGGGAATGTTCAGGCAGCAACTGACTCCTGTCCTCATGCCCTTGACTCTTATGACTTGCACACAGGTGAAATCACTTGCTATTTATGTGGCCTTGGGCACGTTTCTTGACTTCTCTGGCCTCAGTTTCCTCAGCAGTAAAATGGAATATCAAGGGGCACCTGGGTGGCTCCGTCTGACTCTTGGTTTCGGCTCAGGTCGTGACCCCAGAATCATGAGATCGAGCCCTCTCAGCTCTGAGTCTGCTTGGGATATTCTCTCTCCTCTTCCCTCTGCTCCTCTCCCTGCTCGGGCACTCTCTAAATAAATAAGTAAGTAAGTATGTAAATAAAAAAAAAAATCTTTGAAATGGACTATCAATAGTACCCACCTCACAGGGTGGCTGTGCGAAAGAGCATGAGCTAATACATGGGCTCAGACCAGTGCCTGGTACATAAAAAGCACTCATTAATTAGAACGAGATAGTCTTGATTATAATCATGATTATTCTACAACACGTTCTTAATTTTCAGCTTGAAAACAAGGAACGAAATCCATGCTGTGAAAAATAACTACTTGTAAAATAAATCTTTTTTTCTGTTAGCACACAGATAAGCAGCCTAAATATGCCTTCCAAGTCTCAAAGAGGATTTACAGAGTTGCAATACATAAAAGCAAAGGCAATGTTATAATAACCTTGCAGCTCTGTTATTGAGAATGTTCCAGAATCTATATGGGCGCGGAAAAAACGTTTAAAGCAACCAAAACATGAGTGTGATTTCATCAGATGTTGTCATCGGCATGGAATGAGGCATGTTCTCAAACTGGAATCCAACCCCCAAATGGGTTGAGAGCCTCACCGCCGAGTTGGGAAGGAGGAAGTTGGGCCAGGAAACCCCCGTCGACAACAACCTAACTGACTCACTGGTTCTGTTTGTCTCCTCAGCAAATTGTTTTCTCAAGCAAAACCCCATTCGTGGCGAGCAATCTCTTAGAGAAGCTTTCTAGCCAAATCCAGGTGGTGGAGAAACTGTCAGCGGTCAGCGATGAGAACATAGGGAACATGAGTTCCGTCATGGAAGGTAAGCAGCTGCGTGTCACCGCCATCCACACAGACGGTGGCCACTGGCCCACACTCCTTGGCCACATTCATCCTTGCGTCATCAGGACGGCGGGAGCCCACGCTCGGGCCCCAAAGTAGAGGAATGGCTGCACACTGGTGTGGCCTCATTAACACCGCTGAGTCCAACCAGCGGATACTGTGTTTTCTAGACGGCCCTCCAGCCCCGGAAGTCAGACACTGGAACCTAAACAGAACCAGCGTCCGGCTCCTGGGCCGTTTCTCACACTTTCTCCACCAGCTGTTCCGTGAGGGACGGGTGACCGGGGGTGTGCCTGGGCCGCGGAGCTCCCGTGGCGGCCGACGGGCAGGTGCAGGGTGCGCCCCGGCTCCCCTTGGAGAAGGTAGACGTGTGTGGAGTCACAGGCATTCGGGAAAGCCCCTGGTTCAAAGAGTTTTAGGTGAGAGCTTGACCCGGGGAAGAGGCCTTGGAATGTGTGCGGCCTGGCACAATGCTCTTCGTGAGTTCAGCCCCGGAGTCCCCTGGGCGGCGTGTCAGACTCCTCGAGCCGCCTCCCGCTCTGTGTCGTCCCCTGCAGAAAGCCACTTGAGGTGTCCTTCTCTGAGCCTTACGGTGTTCTGCTGTCGAGTTACCAGAGAGGAGACGGTGAGAGCATCTTCCAAGAGTAGAGCCACTGTGTTTTCTCTCACTAAAAGCAAACAGCTTTGCTTTTGCTGCATTTTCTTGGCTGCCCAGGCTAGAGGAGCTCCTTGTCATAATAACGTCTTTGCCCTTTGGAAAATCTGCCACGTACAGAGGAATCTTGTAGTTCCGATTCAACACCACAATCTTTTGGGGACGCCCAGTTGGCTTGCCTGGCAGTCGGTGGAGCCTGCGACTCTGGATCTCGGGGTTGTGCGTTCAAGCCCCACACTGGGTGTAGAGCCTACTTTAAAAAAAAAAAATTAAAAACTACAGTCTTAAAAAAAAGAGAGAGAGGGGCCCTGGTGCCGGCCATGCCCCCACGCAGGTACATCTCTTCATCTGCTTCATTCGAAATGTGCGTCATGGGGTGGGGGCTGCTCTTCTCTTCCAGCCATCCCAGAATTTCACAAAAAGCTGTCTTTGCTGTCCTTCTGGACCAAGTGCTGCAGCCCAGTCGCTGTCTACCACAGCTCGGCCGACCGAGTGATGAAGCAGCTAGAAGCCAGCTTTGCCAGAATCATCAACAGAGAATACCCAGGACTTGCAGACCCAGGTACGGGGCCGTGGTGGGGAGGAAGGCGTCTCTGCCGTTGACTTGCAGGTGAGCACCGGCGGGTTCCCTCCCCACTTCCTCTGGGACAGGCTGACTCTGCAGGGGAAGCATCATCTACTCAGTACCATCTAAGGAAAGAAAGACTTGAACATGTTTTAATTCAGAATATCAGCAGTGACTTTTAAAAGCACTGTGTTTGTGTATGGCCGTTTAGGTGGCTGTAGACTTTTTTCATTAAAATGTCACCAGAACAAGAGTGTCACGGGGGATAACCACTTGGGAAAAACTGGCATTTTCTCCTAAAGCTAAATATACCCCTACCCTATGACCCAGCAACTCCACTCCTAAATATATCAAGGGAGATACATGCTTATACTCACAAAAAAGGACACGCCTAAAAATGTTTCATAGCAGCTTTCTTCACAAAAGCCGAAAATCAGAAACAACTCAGATGCCCACCAACAAGAAAATGAATGTATTTTGTGTGTATGTATGTGTGTATATAGAATGTGTATATATATGTGTATATTGTATTTATATAGTAACATATTCATATAATAGGGTATTACACAGCAGTTTTTACAAAGAATAAATTAGTACTACAAGCAACAATTTAGATGACTCTCACAGATATTTTATTGAGTAAAAGGAGCCAGATACAAAAAGCACATTCTAGATAATTCCATTTACGTGATGCTCAAGAACAAGTGAAGCTAATTCATGTTGACAGAAGTCAGATTATTAGTAACCTACGGTGGGCAGGGGGCAGAAGCTCCCCTTATGGGGCACCGACCGTGTTCTGGGGGCAGAAGCTCCCCTTACGGGGCGCTGGCCGTGTTGTGTATCTTGACCAAATGGCGGTCACATAGGTGTGTGTACACAGACGCAAACTCATGCAGCCACACGCTGAGGATCGGCTCACCTGCCGGACTTCGCCCTGCCGTGTACCTCAGTAAAACACGAATGAATGGTCACGTCTCCTCAAAGCTGCTTCCCCTCTTTCCCTTCCAAACAGTGTTCCGAACCCTGGTCTCCCAAATCCTGGACCGGGCTGAGCCTCTGCTCCCCTCCAGCCTCCCTTTGGAAGTCATCACTGTTTTCCAGTATTACAGTTACTTTACCAGCCACGGTGTGAGCGACCTCGAGAGTCACGTGAACCAGCTGGCCAAGCAAGGTGGGACGCGTTCTTTGTCACACTGTGTGACTCCCTTTGGAGTCCGCTCCGGGCTTTTCAGTCGTAGTCTTTAGTGATGGGAACCTTTCCTTTTCCCCTAAGTCAACAGCTGGGATCAGATCTGCCTTTTCAATGACTTTTGGACCCTTAACATTAGCGAGCCTCTTGGCAATGAAGTGGGGATTTACAAAGAGCATCCCAATCACCCAGCAGGGGTGTAACGTTGACGAGAAGCTGCTGAATGATTTACTGACATAATTTATTTTCTTCATTAGTGTATTGTGTTTGCCATTAGTGGGGTCAAGTCTACAGGCAGTACTACGTTAGGTTGCCCTTTTTGGTGGTGCTTTCATGATAATAAGCAGAAGTGGGGTTCACAAGAAGGCAGATGCAGTGACATGTTGATAAGGAAAGGAGGGAAGATGGAAAACCAGATCTCCGGCTGGGAATCCAGGGAATGAGAAGAATGGGCACCAGCCTAGGAGTGTGGCATGAAGCTTATTGCAATGATGTGGATGGAACTAGAAGGTATTCTGCTTTCTTTTTATTCGCTAGTTTCCTTGATTCAGACTCTACAATCGCTGAGAGATGAGAAACTGCTCCAGGCCATGAGTGACCTTGCACCCAGCAGCCTCCCAGCCCAGCAGGAAGTACTCCGGACCCTGGCCCTGCTGCTCATGAGGAATGACAGCCAAGTGAGCCAGGCTGTGATGCTTTACCTGGCCGCAGCCTCCAGAAACGAGCATTTCAGGGAGAAGGTAAAGTCCCAAATTGTGGACATCAAGCCAGAAGCTTGTTTAATTTTCTGTCATTTACTATGAATATTTTGCCATCTGTTTTTTATCAAAATAATTTTCTTCTGCCTATTAATAATACATAATCTGTAACACCACATAAACTACAAAAATATACTGCAAATATTTGAGCGCCCGTAAGTCCAGCCCTGAGAAAACTGTTAATAATTTGGTGTATGTTCCTTCTGATGTTTTTCTGTGTATCTGCTCACATATATAATTATTTTTTTCTTAAATGAGATCACACTGTTCTGTTGTGTAACTGATTTCTTAAATGTACTATATCATGGTGATTTTCCTTGTTAGAACGTGTTGATCTACTTCATCCTATTTGATGGATTAATATGCATCTCAGGGTATGGATATTCCATAATTTATTTTCTCATTCCATATTGATCAGCATTGGTCTAGTTCCCAACTCTGAAAAATGAGAGCATGGTGAGCATACATGGTGAGCATACATGCACACATATTTCATGAGTAGTTTGGGGTCAAGTCATCAAACTGTTGACTCAAAGAACAAGAATATTTTTAATTTTAAAAGCTATCACTCCTCATTGCCAGGGAAGAGGCGGTATACCTCGTCCATGGCTTTCATTCAGTATCATCCAGGGGTAACAAGCATCTGTGATTCAAGCACCCAGGGGCCCTGTACAGATGGCAGCCTTGGTCCTCTGGGAGCCCTTGACAATCTGAACAGTTGTTCTAAAAACTAACTCATGGGGCGCCTGGGTGGCTCAGTTGGTTAACTTTCTGCCTTTGGCTCAGGTCATGATCCCAGGGTCCTGGGTTTGAGCCCCCACATCGGGCTACCTGCTCAGTGGAGAGCTTGCTTCTCCCTCTCCCTCCGCCCCCTCCCTGCTGTGCTCTCTCTCTCTAATAAATAAAGTCTTAAAAATAAAAAATAAAAGATAACTCATGTCAGTCCTCAGATCAGCTCAAGAAAATTAAACTGGTCCCTTCTTGTCCTTGGAAAGGTCAAATGTTGAACTCTGAGAAGGGCTTAACTTTTCTAAGGCATTAGCTAAACTAGGGAGTGGTGGGATGTTTGCGTCTCCAGTTCAACTCTCATCCTTAGGTCTTGGATTCATTTCTCACAAATGAGCCTTCACTAACTGAAGATGGCTTAGGTGGCACACTACTTAAGAGGTGCAACTTAGATACCACCTAGAAGTGTTTGACCCGCCCTCCCCAAACCTTGAGCTCTTTCCATCTTTTCATGTATGAAACAGCAAACGTTAGTGCGTTAATTCTGTGCCTCCAGACGTGAAGGGCTAAAGCCATACAAAACTACCTCGGTGAGAGCTAGTGTTTCTGTAAATCTCAAGCCTTCAGAAAACCATAGCTGTTGAAGCAAATTAGACATATGTTGGTTCATTTTTGATGCTTTTTACTCATCCTCCCTCCCTGGACTCAAATAAGTGGGAAATATCTATTCTTCTGTCTGTTGGGATGTTGTTGCTCCTGTAATCTTCTAGGACCCGCCAGAGGAGACGCTTACTATCTTGCAAGGTGACAGGGACTTCTTGCTTCCCAGGGCACCTCCTGTTTGCTTCCTGGAACTCTTACCAAGCTGAGTATCATGGCAGCCACCATTTCTTGGGCAACTGCTCAAATTCAAGTGAGCAAGATGACACTTACTGGTTCTGTGAGACTGTACATCTCTGCAAGGCACAGAGAAGTGCCAAATGCTTTGTCGAGTCCGGAAACAGTGCCCACTTCCCGCTCAAGCCAACAGAGTTTCAGTCTTCTTGCTCAAAGGGACAGTGTGGTCCAGAAGTCTCATCCAAAGATCCTACTACCAGTGGTGGACTGACCCAGGCCCACATCCAGCACCTCATCCCTCTGGAATCATTGTTAAAATGCAAACACGCCTGAGAGCAAGGACCATTTAAGTTGTTTTCGGCCATTTAAGGCTTGAAATGTATGGTTTGGGGAACTGGTTAAATTTTGGTTTGGTGGCTAAACCTTGGGGCCTCTTGGGAGGGGTACCAGAGGGAAATGGAGGAAAATAGAGAATCATTGTGTGCTCAAGTTCATCCACTTGATGAGAACTATGCAAAAGCCAAAGTGAAATGGAACATTTAGTATTATTATTAATTCACAGCAACCAAAAAGTGGGAACAATCCAAATGTCCATCAGCTGACGAATATACAAAATCTGATCTCTCCTTACAATGGGGTATCATTCAACCTAAAAGGAATGAAGTGCTGACACAGGCTTCCACACGGATGAACCTTGAAGCCATCATGCTCAGTGAAAGCACGAGACATAAAAGGCCATGTATTATGTGATCGTATTCCCACAAAATGTCCAAACTAAGCAAATCCAGAGAGAGAGACAGAGATCAGAGGTTGCCAGGAACCAGACAGAGGAGCAATGGGAATGACTGCCAGTGGGTACAGGATTTCTTTGGGGAGTGATGGAAATGATCTGGGATGAGGTAGTGATGATGGTTTCTGAGTACACAAAAAAATTACTGAGTCAAGCACTTTAAAGGGTGAATATTGTGGTATGTGAATTATATCTCCATTTTTTAAAAGAGTAGCGTTGTTCTATAGAACTGAGAAAACAGGCCGTGTTTTAATCACAACTATATGCCATGTCATGAGCAAATACATCATCAGGTGGTTGATGACACTTTCACGCTCTTTCATCCGGGCACTATGGTGTCATCAGATCTGATTGGGCCATTCACTAAATATAGAGTATCATTCATTCTAGGTGCTAGGAATTAAATAAATTTAAAAAACAAAAAACCAGAGGCCCCTGGGTGGCTCAGTCGGTTAAGCATCTGACTCTTGATTTTGGCTCAGGTCATGATGTCAGGGTCACGGGATCGAGCCCCACGTCAGGCTCCCTGCTCAGCGGGAAGCCTGCTTCTCCCTTTCCCACCCCCCCTGCTTGTGTTCCCTCTCTCACTGTCTCTCTCTACCAAATAAATAAATAAAGTCTTTTTTAAAAAAAAGAAAGAAATGTTGATGCTTATAAACACAGATGTATGTAAGTGATGATAATTAGTAAGAACCAAGGAAAAGTTAAGTCATAGGAAATCAGAGAGAAGATGGTAGAGAGCCGGTCACATGGTGGTTGGTGAAGCAGGGCCTGGTTCTCGAACCAGTTCTGAAGATCATCAGGAATGAAGTCTGTCCAAAGGGGAGCAGAGCTCACAGGGCCCCCTGTGTGAAGGACAGCACCCGGGTGCATCCGTGAGCGTGGCAGGAACAGCGGGCAGCTGGAGGGGGTGGTGAGCCAACTTCGCAGGATCTGGAAATGCCCATAAGGAGGCAGGCATTCCCCGTTGATGCTGGGCACAAACAAAGAAGGGAGGCCTCTGCTCTTCTGAGAGAGGGGCCAGTGGGTGGGCTCCTGATGGATGCCACGTGCTCTTGAAGAAGGTATCCCTCCTCATCAGGTGCTGGAAGCAGAAATGTGGTGGCTGGTGATCCAGGCATGAAATCAAGACCTTGACAAGACATGTGGCCATGGAAAAGAGACAAATCTAAGAAATATAAGGCATGGGGAAAGACATGAGCTTTCTCATGAAATAAGAACTAATTTTTACGTTGAGATTCTTATCCAGAGCATCCTTGGGCCCGTCTCGTCCACTCCTTCCTGCTGGGATGTCCCCTTCCCAGGATCTAACCCATCCTTCCCGTCCCGGCCCACACATTGCTTTCCTGAGCCTGCCCTGGTGACTTTGGGAGGTGACTGTCTTCCATGTGACTCCCCTAGCCTCGCGTAGCATTCTGTGGAGGTAACACATCTCTTCTGTGCCTTCCTTCTAAACACTCTTAGCACTTTCGCTAGCCCTGAGGGTCTCTGGAAAGTTGCAAACGTAACTTTGGATCTTCCAACTTTGGATTCCCCAGTGTCGGTGACCTGGTAGAATATAAGCAATTAACGTATTGAACTAAGAGACAGCTCTTTTAATAAACATGAATTTTAATGGATTTTTTTGCTCTGATGGTAGTGCGACATGTCTTATCTATGGTGATACCTCTAAAACTACAAACGGGGTCCCTCCCTCTCTTTCAGGCCTTGCTCTATTACTGTGAAGTGCTGACAAAGGCAAACCTCCAGCTCCAGAAGGCAGCTTGTCTGGCCCTGAAAAGCCTGCAGGTAAAACCCAGCCTTAGAGACCCAGACAGGTCTGTTCTGAGCAAGTCGAGGGCCAAGGACACTTAACAGCTCTCTTCCCGTGTTTGGAAGCACCTGTGTTAGTGGCATATCTTACTTCCTTTGCTGTGTAACCTGTATATTTGTTTGGGGATCTTTTTTGTTAATTTTATTTTTTCTTTCTTTTTTCTTTTTTTAAAATTCTTTATTTAAATTCAATGTAGTTAACATATTATTAGTTTCAGAGGTAGAGGTCAGTGATTCATCGGGTGCATATAATACCCAGTGCTCATTCCATCACATGCCCTCCTTAATGTCCATCACCCAGTTACCCCATCCCTCTGCCCCCCCGCCCCTCCAGCAACCCTCAGTTTGTTTCCTGTCATTAAGAGTCTCTTATGGTTTGTCTCTCCTTCTCTGATTTCGTCTTGTTTTATTTTTCCCTCCCTTCCCCTATGATCCCCTGTTGTGTTTCTTAAGTTCCACACTAAATGTGACTTTGTTTTGTTAGAGCCAACAACTTTCAGAAAACAATCGTGTGTTTCAGTAGCCCACAGGTCAGTGTTAGAAACATAGACCTTATTCCAAAAGAGAGGTGACATGATGATTTCCCCAATCTTTCTCATGTACAAAAAAAGAGCAGGGACGGGGCGCGCCTGGGTGGCTCAGTCGGTTAGGCATCTGCCTTCGCCTCCCAGGACCCGAAGGGGCCCCTCCTCTGTCACTCTGGGCTAAAATAAGCTGTGGTCTGCCCACACTGCCCACCGCAGTCAGCTGTCCCACAGCACCAACACCGTGCTACCTGAGCCTGGCTTTCTCCCAAGAAAGACAGTCGCCCTCTGGTCCCTTTGTCAGCTCATCAAAATCTCAGGAGCAGCCTTTTTGTGTTGCCCCACGCGGGCTCCTGCACGTCCAGCTGCCCTGGCCCTGGCCGGTGCTGTGCTGAGAGACCCCGCACTAGGCCCCCCACCGCCTCCACGTGCTTGCTCCCCTGTGTTCCGTCCTCATCTGTGCACTGATGACTCCCAGCGTGCGTACCCCCCCCCCCAGCATGTAGCTGGCTCACTGCTGGCTGTGTCCGCTAACAAGTCACCTGCAGATGCACCCAGCTCACCCACCTCCAGTCCTCCGCATCTCAGTGGATCATGCAGCTCACCCTCGCACCCTGTACACCCCGCGTCCTTACAGCCCGCGTCTGTCCACTGTCTCCCCAGTCTGCGCGCCGGATCCAAGCCACCTCCCCACCAGCAGCCTCTGCTTCCTCGGAGTCCGAACGCCTTCTGTGCGTGCTCTCTGCTACAGTTAGAATGCTCCTAACACAACATGAACCCTGCTTCCCAAGCCCTGCTGTAGCTTTCCATGATTCTACGAATGAAGGCCAAAACCCTTCATGTGGCTTTGTAAGGCCGTCTTTGAGGGGCTCCTGTTGCATGGAGTGTATGTCCTTCTCCACCCCCCAACACACACACACACACACACACACACACACACACACACACACACACACCCCTACCACTGCCCCAACTTGGCTAATTGCTCTACGACCGCGCTTCCTCTGTGAAGACCTCCCTGGTCAGACCAGGTCACATTTCCTAGCCATGTCATGCCCTGTAACAACTCTCTGTCCCACGTCTGGCTTTCCACGGGACTGTAACCTCTTGAGAGCCAGAACCATGTCTTGTTCATGGCTGAGTCTCCCGTGTCTGGCGAATTGCCCGGTTCGGAAAGTGCTAGATGAATGTGCAGTAAACACACAGACAGGTTCCCACCACCGACCTTTACTCTGCGCCTCCGTTTTGGTCTAAACTAAGCATTAACAATTCTTACGTTAGCGCTGTCTTGGAAGCAGGGAGGTACGGCAGAAAGAACTCCCAGGAGTGGCTTCTCTTCTGGAAAGCAGGCTGGTCTCCCGGCTTCCTGATGCCCTCTGGGGTGTCCTCTGGGAAATGAGGGGTTTAGCGGATTGCCGGGGCTCCTGCAAGCACGCGCCCTGGGCTCTGTCCCAGGAAATTCTAGTACCGTGCACCCTGGATGATGCTCAGCGAGTCGTGGGGCCCTCTGGGGGAGATGGCCTTAACGTCCGCACCAGCTGTGGGGTACTGTGTCTCGGGGGACCCCAGACAGAGGTGTCAGAGCACTATCTCACAACTTTCTCCCTGCAGGCCACCGAAAGCATTAAAATGCTCGTTACGTTGTGTCAGTCTGACACTGAAGAAATCAGAAACGTGGCCTCCGAGACCCTCTTGTCTCTCGGTGAGTTTTTTTTTACCCGATTGTTTCCTTTTGGCACTCAGAAAGGGAAGTGAAAGAAAATGTTTTGTGTGCACTGTCTGAGCAGTTCCCCTCTGTGGGCTCTCTGCTCACACTCACACACACACACAGCGTATGTCACACACACGCAGGCATGTCACACACACAGGGTATGTCACACTCACACGCAGGGTATGACATACACACACACGGGGTATGAGGAACTGGTCAGTTTCCATCTTGCTTCAATGCCCTGTTCTCACCATTTGGTGTAGAGGGTGGGGGTTGCTCTCTGGAGCCTCTCTAGATGGATCAGTCTGTGCGCTCTCCGGAATCAAGAACATAGATTTGAATCGGGAGGCTGAGACAGTAGTCAGGAATCCAGCTGGGATGGCGAGGTTGGGCTGGCCCTTGTAGGGGGCGCAGTGAGTGGCTGAGGTTGCGGAGATGTGCCCCAGGGTATGCCCTAACCCCCTGCTCCCAGGGCCTCACCCTGGGTCTCCAATGAACCCCTGGTTGCCCCGCGGGCCAATGCCCACCTGAGCCCTGACACCAGAGAAAAGAAGTGAAGTGTTTCTTTTATTCTGGAACAGCCAGATAAATCTTCCCCTTCACTTCACTTTAGAAAGCTTCATGCCCACCAGGCTGCATATCTTTATTCCTGCTGGCGAGTGGGGAGGGTGGAGAGAGGCTTTCTTAATCCTGCATAACAGATAGTTATTTTAATGCTACACCTGCTCTCAATGTGTGAAAACTAGACTCCTGAAAGTCCTCAAATCTAATCCGGTTGATAATACTCTTTGGAAAAAAGCCACCCTGGCTTGACTATAGTAGCTTAATAATGTGAGGGAGAATCTCATGGCATTCGTAATCACCATGAAGATCACATCCATTGTTAGGCGTCCTTTCTTACAGTTACTGGTGTAATAACACTTCCTTCTGCTATTGAATATATCATCTGTATGTTTGTTTAAAGGATAAAACTGTTATTCCTTATGGCTGTTTTAGGCATACAAATGATTTAATTCCCTAAAAATGTGCCCAGGGTGTTATTAGTTCGAGCTTCCTTTATCCCTTCATGCCCTGAAATAACAATGAAGGTAAGCCGGATGTTAGGAACGCAGAGCCAGCAACGCCTCTTCATCCAGTGCAAGCTGAAGAGCCTGAGCCCTGCTGGGGGCGCCCCAAACTTCACTTCAGCTCCACCCCCAGCAGCATCTCCGGGAGGCATCCTTATCCGTGCTTCACTTTGGCTTTTTAATTGAATTGAATTGAATTTATTTATTTGACAGAGAGAGAGAGAGAGCATGAGCAGGGAGAGGGGCAGACGGAGAAGCAGGCTCCCCTCTGAGCAGGGAGCCCAACGCAGAACTCGATCCCAGGACCCTGGGATCATGACCTGAGCTGAAGGCAGACGCTCAACCGACCGAGCCTCCCAGGCACCCCTTCACCTTGGCTTTTCCCCTGCTTGGCTCCCCCAATCCCTGTGCCCCCCCTCACACCACCAGTTCGTGGTTCTCAATGTCAGCTGCACATTAGCATCACCGAGGAAGCTTTAAGATGTGCCCATGCCTGGGCTCTGCTTCCAAAGATGCTGTTTCCATTGGCCTCGGCACTGTGTTAAAAGCCTCCAGGTGGTTCTACCGTGTAACAGGTTTGAATGCAATGCTCTGAATCGCTTTGACCCTAATACACAAATACAGTCTCACACAGATGGCTGAATCAGTAATTGTATCCACTAGATCCCCCTGTGGTAATGGGGCTGTCCCAGTATTCACAGGTGGCCATTGAGCATTTCCATATGGCTACTGTGAATGAGGAACTGAAGTTTAATTTTATTTAATTTTGAGTAGTGAGCATTTAAACTTGCATAGCCACACGAGACTGGTGGCTGCCATGTTGGGCAGAGCAGTTTTCCCCATCAGCTATGGCCATTCCATTGTGCTCCGGCTAGATCTCAGTCCAGTTTGGAACCACATGCCGAACGTCCCAGAGTGCAGGCCCTTTCTCCTCTAACACCCTAGCTGCTTCACAGGGCTGTTAAGAGACAGAGGAGGAGCCAACACAGGTCACTGGCCACTGGTCATTAGTCAGGGTTGTATCTCTGTGGTAATGTTGGGGTACACCCATAGAGGTGTATGGTTGTATCTCTATGGTAATGTTGGGGTACACCCATAGAGGTGTATGGTTGTATCTCTATGGTAATGTTGGGGTACACCCATAGAGGATTTGCTCTGTGCTGGGCACTGGGTTGAGGGATCTGCATGGGTTAGCTCATTTAATTGTCCCATGGACTCCATGAGGGGAAAGTGCAAATAGTCCCATTTTATGGAGGGGTACACGGAGGCATAACTCACCTATGGATTCCCAGAACTTATAAGCACTGGGATGGAATCCTGACCCACCCAGACTCTGAGGGACTCTAGGGAAAGAACTGAACACTTCTAATTTGCAATATATCCATGAGCAAACTAGGAACTGGTGAGGTATTCGCTCTTTTTTAAATAGGGTTAGTTAGCCAATGTATCCAGGGTATGTGCAAGTAGGCGAGGTAGGAATGGGCCTAACTCAGGCCCTCTGTCTCTGTCTCCCCCTGTCATTACCTGGAAAGATGCTGTATTCAGTGTTTTATGTATCAGGGATTTGTGTAAATATTTTGTTTCAAATAAAGGGTTCTATTCCAAAGTAATAAAAAAAAGGTGAAAAAATATAACATTTGCCTCAGAAAAGTCAAGGCATGCAGAAACAATCAACAGAAATCTCTAAAAATTGGTGGCCTTTGCCAAGAGAAGGTTCACCATGTTCTTTTAAATGCAGGCGAATCCCTACTTTTCTGATGTATTACTGAAAAACCTAAATGTACCCCCTAAAAGCAAAGACAAACTTTTGGTTGATCGAGAGGCTTCTGTTTCCAGGGACTACAATATATTATAAAACCCATAACTACACTCCTTTTCAAAAACCCACTAACATCAGTGTAGTCCCAGCATTTCATGAATCTTTTATTTTTTTTCTTCACAATGAACTTGTGATTGAGCACAACTCATACTCCCATCTTTGTCCTTCTTGTATTAAATGCATGAATGCCTGCTTCTTATCACTAGTTATCTATGATTTTTTTCCCCATTTCCTAATCATTGTTTTAGATAGGAAAAACGGTATGGAGTGTTCAAATAATTTGCAAATAAATGTTGGTTGTTGGAGATGACTACTGATGGAAGTGACCTAGCTGCTGGCTGGTAGACGGATCACCAGATGGGTCCATGGCAAAGAGTAATGTTTTAGCTCAAGTGTGACAGCCTAAGTTTGACTTTTACAAAAGACCGCTTAGATATGCCAATATGTAATGTAAAAAAGTAAAAGTCCTGTCGAAGTTCGATGCTTTGAAGTCAAGGATCAGCCATACTGAAATCCCTAATGCACTTAAAATATAATCCATATGACTTCTCAGGAAGAAATCTATCATGCGAAATTATCCCCATCAAATGCCCATAGAACTTATACTGTTTCACACCCCAACATTCATTTAGTCTCTGGCATTCCCTCAAAAGTTCTTGCTCGTTCTACAAAGGACAAAAGAGACAAACCCATAAAGCAGACTCTTACCGCTAGAGAACACCCTGCTGGCTACCAGAGGGGAGGTGGGTGGGGAGTGGGGGGAAGAGGTGGTGGGGATGAAGAGCACACTGACCGTGATGAGCACTGAGTAAGGTACAGAATGGTTGAATCACTAGACTGTACACCAGAAACTAATGCAACACTGTATGTTAACTGCACTGGAAGTTTTGGTTTTTTTTAAAGGGCGCCTGGGTGGCTGAGTCGGTTAAGCATCCGTCTTCGGCTCGGGTCATGATCCCAGGGTCCTGGGATTGAGTCTCGCATCAGGCTCCCTGCTCAACAGGAAGCCTGCTTCTCCCTCTCCCTCCGTCCCTCCCCCACCCATGCTCTCTCTCTCTTTCTCAAATAAATACAATCTTAAAAAAAAATAACATATAAAAAAAGTTCTTGGTCATTTAAACATTACCTAGAAAAAAACAACATAATTAAAAGTATGGGAAGATGATTTCCTTACGTAAAGTTAACAGCGCAATTATACAGTGACCCATTCCCCAACAACTGGTATTGTTATCCTGAGGGATGAATGAAAAAACCACGTTCCAACTGCTGTTGGTTTTTGATGTTCTGTGTGCAGGGGAAGACGGGCGGCTGGCATATGAACAACTGGACAAGTTCCCTCACTGTGTTCACGTTGGAGGGCGGCATGGGACGGAAGTCGCTACGGCATTTTAATGAGCTCTCCTGTACAGCTGTCTTTCTAAATGGCCCTGTTCATCGGGGTGGTGCTGGGGTCGAACTGGAATGCTTACAACTTGAAGCGCTCTGTTGAGGTTGTCTGGAAATGTAACATGTTATAGATAGAATTCAAAATCGAGTTTTCCAGGACCTAGCCACTTTTCCTTTGGCCAATAGAATCAGGCTGTGTAGTACTCTGTAGATTTTATTGTCGATGGCGTCTGACAGTACTTAGTTAAAGAGCCCATCTTATCTCATATGTGTGGAATTTTAAAACAGCCATCTTTGTACTTTTTTGGAAGTTCTTCTATAAGCCTAAAATAGTCACGTGATGCTTTGATGCCTATCTTATGCCTTGCAGTTTTTCTCTGTCGTGTTCTCAGGGTTGAGTGGCCCCGTTAGCTACCTAATTTCACCTTAATGCAAAGCACACACACACAAAAAAGAATTTCTTCAAATAAAAGTTTGCCCGCAGAACTTGGTAAAATGACACATTGTAAGAGTTTAATTTTTCTTTTAATTTCATTTTCCTCAAGTCTCCACTACTTCTATTGTTTTTTTCTCCATCCTGAAAGTCCCAAAAGCATGTTTCCATAGTTAAAAGACAGGTGGATGACTAAGAGCTACCTTAAGTTTATACCTGTACTCCTTAAAAAAACACAAAGTTTAAGCTTTTTTAAAAAAGAGCCATTTTTTTATGATACTTTTACAGTAGAGATATTTTGCTGCTACAACAAATCAAAACCAAAAGTCATGGATTCAGAAAGCTGTGATGCTCTTTGAAGTAGAAGTAGTTGGAAGTTGGAGGACTCTTAATGGGGTGGGAGCAGAAGGACATTCCAAGTGGTCCTTGCTTCTACAGGAACTACCATGAGATTAGGAAGGAGAAGAATGCCCCTAGGGACCGTCACTGCACCCAGAGAAATCATTCATCACTGGGTGGGATCTCTTGGCCAAATAGTTAAAGTAACAGCTTCCTTTATTGCTTCCCTATCAGGGTAGCAAGTCCTCTAAATAAACTACAAGACCACTCAATAGCTTTTCTTCCTCTTAAGAGTATACATGATGGGATATGCCAAGATCTCAAAATAATATATGTGTTATTTAAACTGTGGAGTATCAACTGTATTCTGGATGTGTTTGTATAAAATATCATTTAGGTGTCTTTTAAATATTTACATTTTAGCAAGACCTTTAAGAACAACTCGTATTCCATTTTAAAGTAAAAATTGTTGGGGCGCCTGGCTGGCTCAGTTGGTAGAGCGTGTGACTCTTGATCCCAGGGTCATGAGTTTGAGCCCCACATTGGGCATGGAGCCTACTTAAAATAAAAAATTAAAAAAAAAAGTAAAAATTGTTTGCCAGGCTTCCTGGCAAATAGTTCTTTCAACTGTGAAGTCATAATGTGTATATATATTTGTATATTTATAAATATTATATATATGCATATACCCTTCATTTTAAAGGTACATTGTACAGTCTATGGTTAGTATGTATAGTCTATAGTCTATGTTAAATGGTTGAAATTCTTTTTACAGAAAGTCAAATCAAAAATGTTACAGAGTTTTTTGTTTGGTTTGTTGTTTCTTTTTTTTTTCCTAATTTTTTGAATATTGCATGAGTAATTAATTCCATATCTTTTGTATTCATTTCTGCATTTTATTTTTGCTCGAAGGGGGTGCTTTTAGTTTTGTGGCATTTGTATCCATCACTCTTTAAATCATGTAAGTTAAAATAAAAATTATTTTTGAATTATTAGTCTCAGGTGCAGAGTCTGCTCTATGTTTTTCCCATGCCCTCCTTCACCTGGCATTTGTACAACACAGTGCACCTCATTCTCAACCTGAATTTATCCTTATCTTGAAATTCCTTCACTTGTAAATGAGGATCATAATATTTCCCTCTCAGATTTGTTGTAAAGCTAATGGGAGCACAAAGAGCTGTGTTTCAGAATCGTGTTATCTATGAGCAGAGACCATGAGCCCCCTGAAGATGAAAAGAGCCTTCATTTATTATTGTGTGCTCCCAGCCCGTACCCCACCAGCATCATCACAGACGGGCCCCTCGCATTCAGCTGTGAGCGCAAGTATTCACCGACTGACATCAAATACCAGTGATTGTTTTTACTGAGTCAGCAGGGAAAGATTTTTTTTTCTCTAAGATTCATTTCTATACTGTTTAACTGAATTGCCTTCCTTCACAAAATTATAAAGTAAAATTGTAAACCCCCATTCAGCAGACAACACCAGCACTTCTCACTGTATCCGAAAAGCAAATTAGTCAAATAGAAAAATAAGATTTTTATCCCTGAAATTTTCCCAGAGACAATATCTCATTAAATACTACCTTGATTTTGAGAAATTTCTAAGTATACTTTGTGTGTTTGCTAAAAACTAGATCTCTAATTTCTCATTTATGCAACAAGTAATTTTTTTTGCATACTTAATATGAATGCAGTGTATGCTCAAAGAATATGACTGTTCTTTCTTTGCACTGCAGATCAGCAGTGAAGAAAACACAAAAGGCGTAAAAATCTTTGCCCTCATATGCTGGCAAGGGGAGAAAACAAGATCCGGAAGGCAGTCATAATTGTATAAGGCTGGGGATGGGACAAGTGACAGGGCAAAGGTCACAGGGTAGAAGAGAGTGGTCCAGGAAGGCCTGACAGAAAACTGCATGTGAGCAAATGATGTGAGGAACTGATGGGGTGAACCATGTGGATATCTCTGGGAAGAACATCCCAAGCAGAAATAACAGCACAAAAGCCTTGAAGAGGAGCCATGCTTGGGGTTTTAGATTTTCTAGTAGCCACATTTTAAAAAGTACAGAGAATAGGGGACGTTAACTTTAGTAATATATCTTTTATTTAGCCTAACATATCCAAAATATTTCAACTTGTAATCAATAACAAAAATTAGTAATACGATATTTTGCATTTTTTTCATACTAAGTCTTCAAAATTCAGTATGTAGTTTACATTTACAGCACATATCAACTCAGACTCGTCACACTTCACATGCTCCAAAGCACCTGTGGCCACCATACTGGACGATGCATGTCTATGTTCCCCACGCTGTTGCATCCCTGCCCTTTATAGCATCTGCACACATGCTCACATACGTGCACGCACACAGGTATGGGTACAGGTTCCAATGATGGATTACATGTCTGTCATGTCTCTTAAGGCTCTTTGAATCTAGAACAGTAGCCCTGCACCCCCTTTCCTCTTAAGCTTGCATACCTTGATGTATTTGAAGAGTACAGGCATGTACACTTTGTAGAAGATTCCAAATCTGGACAGGGGGGTCCAAATTTCTACTTTGCAAGTAGAGCCTTGTTGATAAGTTGGAAGTGAAATGTGAGACAGATAAAAGCCAAGGATGAATCCAAAACTTGGATGAATCCTGAACAGGTGCAAGGATGGGGTGCCATCTTCCAAGACAGAGAAAGGGAGCTGCTGCAGGCTTAGAGAGGAAGACCAGGAATTCTGACTTGGACATGTTATATTTGAGAAGCCTCTTAGCCAAATGGATGGCTGTCAAGTTGGCAACCGAATGTTTGGAGTTCAGGTGAGAAATCCAGTTAAAAATAAAATTGGGGGACGGGGGTGCACCTGGCTGGCTCGGTGGAGCATGTGACTCTTGATCTCAGGGTCGTGAGTTTGAGCCCCACATTGAGTGTAGAGATACTTAAAAATAAAATGCTTGAAATATATATATATATAAAATTGGGAGTCTTCAGCATATGGATGGCACTGAAAGCCGGGAGACTGGTTTATTTTATCTAGGAAGTATAGATTGAAACAAAGAAGAGCCTACAAGGCCTGAGGCTTGGGGCACTCCACTATTTACAGGTCATAAAGAGGTGGAACCAGCAAAGGGAAATGGAGGGTGGTAAGCAGAAGAAAAATTGGGTATGACAGCTTCGAAGTTAGGCAAAAAAGGCCTTTCAAGGAAAAAGTGTCAAATGCTGAAGACTGAGAATTGGATTCAGCAGAATGAAGGTCATTAGTGATGCTGACGAGCAGTCCCAGTAGATTCATGGGTTGGAAATTTCCCTTTGGAGTATATCCAAGAGAGGATGGACGAATACTTGAAACGGTGAGTATGGCCACTCTTTGAAGAGTTGTCGTATGAAGGAGCACAGAGCAGTAACTCAGTGGAGGGTTATATGAGGTCAAGAAAGTGTTTTATTTTCTTACTGAGAAAAAGTACAGCATATGCTTGTTGATGATGCAAATGATCCAGTCGCGATGGAAAAATTAGTTAAGGCAAGAGAAGAGCTGTAGAGCAATCTCCCTGAGTGGGGCGAGGGGTGGCGGAAATATGCTGCATGAGTGGAGAGGGCATCCGTAACAACAGGCCAGCAGGAGTCCATGTGCATGGATGCAGCTAGGCGGGTGCAGTGAAGACACCTTTGCAAGTGCCCTTCAGCCTGCTTCCATTTTCTCAGCAAGACGGGGTCAATACAGGACATCAGTGATGTGGAGAAAAAGTCTGATTACGTGACAAGCAGAACAGGGATAATCCTATGGACGGAGGTTCAGTACGTGTTGGAATAAGCAAAGTAAAATGGGCAAGCTGCTAGCAGGCGCTGCCCAAGCAAAAGTGCAAAGGCAGGGGGCGCCTGGGTGGCTCAGTCGGTTAAGCGACTGCCTTCGGCTCAGGTCATGATCCCAGAATCCTGGGATCGAGCCCCACATCGGGCTCCCTGCTCAGCAGAAAGCCTTCACTCTGCCTGTCCCTCTGCCTACCTGTGCTCTCTGCCTCTCTGTCAAATAAATAAATAAAAAATATCTTTAAAAAAAAAGTGCAAAGGCAGGAATGCGCCTCGTGTGCGTGAGGGGGAACCGGTTTGGTCCAAGTTGAGATGGTACACACCCAGAGAAGTGAAAGGAAACTTGGTGTAGCTGAAATCGCAGATGGCCTTTGATGCCAGCCTGAAGAATCAAGGCATCCCTTCTTCCCCCTGACTGGTGTATTCCGTTCTCCAGGGTTGCTAGGTGATGCATTCCAGAGTTCTTGACTATGAACTTCGGCTGCTGAACCACCACTGGCTCTTTCCACGCAATGGCTAAGACCCGTGTTTATTATGTGCGGTGTTGGACGTGGATTTACCACTATTTTGTGGGGCTGTATCAGCGCGTGCAGAAGTTCTGGAATGTCACTGTCAAGCATGTTTTCGTGAAGGAGGAGGAAGAAGATGTCCCTTCAGCTGAGAGTATTTTTCACAAAGAAAAAATTGTGGTGCTTGGCCATTTATTGAAGGATGAATCTTTAGCTGTTGAGAAGAGGGCTCAAGCTGCGCAC